AATTGGGATAATAATAAAGCATAACTAAATTACATATAATTGTGTGACTTATACGGATTTCAATATTTGATGGGAAAACTCAATATTGTCAAGATGTCAATCCTTCCCAAATTAAAGCATATATTCAGTGTAATCCCACTGAGATTGGAAATTACAAGCAGACTCACTCCTCTGGAAGAGTTCATCTGGAAGAGTCAACGTGAAAAATTAACCAAGAAAAATTTGAGAGAAGAGATGTTCTTACAGGATGCAAAAGCACATAAAAAGCGTTGTATGGTAGCACAGGTAACAAGAAATTGGAAACAACTTGAATGTCAACAGGGAAATAGGTAAATAAATTAGAGTGGAGGCCGGTGTGGAGGTGCACACTTGTAATCCCAACACTTTGGGAGGCTGAGGCAGGAGGATCTCTTAAGCCCGGGAGTTTGAGACCACCCTGGGCAGTATAGTGAGACCCTGTCTCTATTTTTTTTTTTTTTAAATTAGCTGAGTGTGGTGGTGTGCACCTGTAGTCCAGCTATTTGGGCTGAGGTGGGAGGATCTTTTGTGCCCAGGCATTTGAGGTTGTAGTGAGCTATGATCACACCATTGCACTCCAGTCTAGGCAACAGAGCTCTTGCTCTCGCTCCGTCTCAAAAAATATAAATAAATAAGTAAATTAGAGCAGTAGATCTCAAACTTGAGCATACATCAGGATCACCCAGAGTGCCACTAAAATACGATGGCCAGACCCATTCTCAGTGCTTCTGAGTCAACAGGTTAGTAGGCATTCATTCAAGTGTTTGTAGCAAGTAAGTTCCCAGATGATGGTGATGCTGAATGGTCCAGACCACACTTGAGAACCACTGGAATTACAGAAGTTCTAAAACGGATAGAAACACAAGGGGGTAAGCTGCAAAATAACATCAGTTTTCAAAAAAAAAAAAAAAGACTCTAGAACTAAAATGAAACAACATATATATATATATATAATTTATATATATATATATATAATTGACTTAAAAACATGTCTGAAAAGAAGAAAGTACACAAAAGGAAGAGATGGTTATTCCTCTTCCCCTACTTGCTAGGTCTGGCATGTGATGCCCAGAGCTGCCCGCCACCTTTATATGGATCAGGGTGAAGCCCAATGGCAAGAGGTGTGGAGCCGTAAGACTCATAGGAAAGCAAAACTGGATGGATACATGAGCCTGGAATGTCCCTGGGGAGATTCTTATATGAATTCATAAATCTTCTTATGATTTAAGCCATTTTATTGGGGTTTTCCCAATAGTAATAGTCAAAACCGTCTAACTCATGCAGTAATGATTATGATTGTTTGTAAAGATCAAATAAGGTCATATAAGTGAATGCTCTTTGGGGACCTTGACACATAGTAAGGTTCTCACATCCAGTCACCATTTTCTATACTTATTCTGCAAAAACCTTCAGAGCTGGGCCATATGGGGACATTATGTGGAAGCTGGCAGATGCTCTGACCTCCAGGAGCTCAGGGAATACAAGGGGAGCCAGGACAAGCAAAAAGAGGAATTTAATGGCTCATGAACCTGGGCTATCTAGGGCTGGACTGGCCTCTGGTGTCACAGTCCCTGCTACTCAAATTATGGCAATCAGCCTTTTTCAATGTGTCTCAGGGCTCCTCTTTGTGAGCCAGTTTTATTCTTTCCTGCTGTGTAGAGTTTCCTCCATGCAGCAGGAGAAGAACATGGATTTCACAACCATAAACTTACGTCATAGTGTCTGAGCAAGCCAAGAGGAAAGACAAGGCTCCTTTTTCTCTGCCTTTGTTTACAAAATCCCAGGGAAGAAGGCTGATTGGCCTAGCTTTGTCAGGTGCCCTATCTGTGCCAATCACTGTGGTCAGAGGGATGGGATACCATGCTTGACCAAACAAATGTGTGATACATGGTTGTTTACATACATCATTTATGATAGCTAGATATAGATATCTGCAGAACAATATTATCACAAATTCAGAGGCAGGCAATGCGCATATGTATTATCTCAGTTTCTGTGGGTCAAGAATCTTGGAATGGCTGAGCTGGGCCCTCTGCAAGCCTGCAATCAAGGTGTGGGTCAGGACTGGGTCCTCATCTGGAAACTTGACTGAGGAAGGATCTACTTCCAAGCTCATGCAACTCTTGGCAGAATTCAGTTCCTTGCATTTACAGGACTGAGGGCTCATTTTCCTGCTGGCTGTCAGCTGCCCTCAGTTTTACAGGCCACTCTCAGTTGGACCTGAAATGGCCACCTGCTTTATCAAAGCCAGCAAGAGTGTGAAACACTCCAGCAAGACAGGTGCTACAATCTTATCTATTTAATTATGTAACCAGGTACACAGAATCACCTGCATCCCATACCTTTGCTGTATTCTATTCATTAGGAGCAAGTTCCAGGTCCTGCCAAACAAAAAGGAGAAAAGGTTACACAAGGGCAAGAATACCAGAAAGTGGGATCATCTATTTTTTTATATCTACATATTCATAGTATTTGTTGTCCATTTGCTTTGTGCTAATTATCCCCTTTAATGCTCACAACTCACTCTGAGATAGATGTTATTTTCCACATTTTACAGATAAGAAAACTGAGTCTCAAAGAAGTGAGGCGATCTACCAAAGATCACATATGTAATTACTGGCAAAGATGGATTTCAATCTAAGTCTATCTAACTGCAACACATCTCCTCTTTTCCTTATATCAAGATGCTAATGAGGCCAGGTGCAGTGGCTCATGCCTGTAATCCCAGCACTTTGGGAGGCCAAGGCAGGTGGATCACTTGAGGCCAGGAGTTCGAGACCAGCCTGGCCAACATTGTGAACCCCGTCTCTAATAAAAATACAAAAAATAGCTGGGCGTGGTGGTACGCACCTGTCATCCCAGCTACTTGGGAGGCTGAGGCAGGAGAATTGCTTGAATCCAGGAAGTGGAGGTTGCAGTGAGCCTAGATCATGCCACTGCACTCTAGCCTGGATGACCGAGTGAGACTCCATCTCAAAAAAAAAAAAAAAAAAAAGCTAATGAATAAACCATCCTGGATGTTGTTTAGTGAAGCCAACTATCTCTGGGCTTGGACACAACTGCATGTCTTTCCTCACTTTGGTGAGGTGAGACTCTGGGTCCTTCCCCAGTCACACATGTGCCATTGAGTCCAAGTAAATAGCTATCAGTTATGTCCTTCCCCTGAGCCTGTATTTTTCTTTCCTTTGCTCCCATTTGGGTAGTCCACTCTGTACTCAATGCTATCCTGTTGGCATGGGGCTGTCCAGGAAATACAGGTATACTACCACCTTCCTGGCTTCTGCTTCTCAATGCCCAAGCCCCTAGAAAAATTCAGATTTGTGAGCAAAGCCACAATATCTTGGAGAAGCAGAGGAAGGAGGGGATTCTCCTTTCTCCAACACCCTTGGAATAGAGAAAAATTCTCCCAGGCTGGGGAGAGAAGAAAGGGGTGACAGAATGATTGGGTGTTATTGGCTTAATTTACAGACTGAGATTCACAAATCCTCAACTTTAAGGTGTGTTTCCAACCCACACCCCCTTCTCTGAGCCCTTCCTATCCCTCTACAATGGGTTGTATATTTGTCAGGATGTCAGTCTGGTTGCTGCATGAAAAGACCCAAAAGAATAGGGCTTAAACACAAGTTTATTTTTCTTACATAAAAATCTGGGTGGATGGCCTAGTGCTGGAATGGTGGCCCCATAATTATCAGGGATCCAGACTCTTTCTGTCTTGTTGCTCTGCCTTTGTTAACATGCAACTTCAATTTAATCTGCATGTCAGGGGGCAGGAAGAGAAAAGTGCTTCCTTCCTGGAGCCTGACTTAGGAAGTTGTGTACTCCAGTTCCAGTCATTGGCCAGAATTTGATCATGTGACCACATGCTAGCGGCAAAGGAGTTTGGGAAATGTAGTTTTATATTGAGAGGCTACATGCCCCTTTATTCTACAAATAGTTATGAAGGGTAGAATAGGTAGAGTGGGACAATTAGCAGTCTCTACCAGTGGTCCTATGTGGTCCAGCCCTGTGGCCTTAGCTCTGATTCTTTGTTTAGGAGAGTTTCTGGCCTTAGCTCTGATTCTTTGTTTAGGAGAGTTTCAGGCATAAAATCTTTTAATACGGTGGCTTTGCATCTGTTGGTGCCTTCAGGAAACAAGAAAAGAGTGGACAGGGGCCAAAAGCCACGTCCAAGTGTATCAGCAAGCAAGGAAAGGAGGGTCAGCATGGGGGTCCTGCTAGGTGTTCTGCACCCAAAGCAAGTTCCAAGGGTGACAGCCTTGTCCACTCTTACTGCCTGCCATCCTGATTGGCTGTGCTGTGCCTAGACACTTCACTCTGGTTATCTCCTTCTCCAACTCAAAGAACAACTTTCCAACTTTTTTTTTGGTGTGTAAGGTGAGACGGGGTTTCTAGGCTGAGGAAAAAATTAACTAGGTAGGATCTGGGTCTTCTACTCTTACAGCCCCTGCTCAAAAAAGGGAAGAATGCAGCAGGTGGTAGATTTAGGTCCTATAAGTCCTGCATCAGAATTAATTCCCAAGCCCCTCAGTATGTCTGTTGTCTTAATTCACACGCCTGCCGCCCACATTTACAGCCTGCATGTTGCTGACCTGGGTCAGTCCCAGAAAAGCCTCATAAGTGTTCATAAAGGGTATCTCTGCTTGCTAACCTCCATCTCATTCTCCCAGTGTAGCCAAAGTGAATGCATGCATTCATTCTTTCACTCATTCATTCAACAAGTAATGATCAATCTTGCAATGTGCCCAGCTCATCCCTTGGCAGATGGGGTCTCTGCCCTTTGGAACTGGGGAGACTGGCCAAATGGCACAAAGAAGTACACCATCATGGGTGCCTGTAATCCCAGCTACTTGGGAGGCTGAGACAAGGAGAATCTCTTGAACCAAGGAGGCAGAGGTTGCAGTGAGCTGAGATCACGCCACTGCACTCCAGCCTGGGTGGCAGAGTGAGACTTTGTCTCAAAAAAACAAAAACAAAAACAAGAACAAAAAACCACACACACAAACAAACAAACAAAAAAGAAGTATAGCAACACAAACTTGATTACTGCTATGGAGAAAAAGTACAGAGTACAAAAAAGGCATGTGTAGCAGTGAAAAAAATGGAATGGGAAAGGGTGTGTAGAACATTCTAGGCATCAGGCACAGCCTATGCAAAGGCCCTGGGGCAAAACTGAGTGTGACAATTCCTAGAATTGAATGAAGCCCTGAGGTTGGTATCCCCAACAGCGAGGAAGGGAGTGGAGAATGCTGTTCCTGATCCTGTCACCCCTACTGCTTAAAACTCTTCAATGACTCATTGCCACTAGCTTTAGTATAGGATCCACATTTGCCCTTGTTTAGGTCCCTGCCTTCCCCTCTGGCCTCACCACTCCTGATCTGGATGTTCTGTTGCCTCCCAGACACTGGTCCCTCCATCCCCAATCCTTTGCCCGAGTAACTCCTACCGGTCCTTCAGGACTCAGCCTAGACATCACGGTCTCTAGAAAGCTGGAATGGATATTCTCCTGTTTGCCTCTTCAAATCCAAGCGCTCTCTGTAGGTTTTGCCAGGAGGGAGGGAAGCGAGGTCAGGGGCCTGCTCTGCAGTTAGCTGTGTGGCTGTGGGTAAGTTACTCAACTTCTCTGTACTTCAGTTTCTTCATGAGGTAAAATGGAGATAATAACTGCACTGACCTCATAGGATTATTGTGAAGGTTAAATGAATTAATAATATATGTAAAGTGCCTAGAGCTGTGCCTGGCACATAGAAGTGCCTTGTGTTTGCTGTTATTGGTCTTTAGTCTTCTCCTGTCCTGGACTGGGTACTGTGTCATTGGTTTCAGTCTTGCCTCTCCTCACAGGGCTGGGGAACTTTAGGGAGTGCCTAGGCCTCCCTGCATTCCTGCATCCTACTACTTTGCCCAGTGGAAGTCATATGGTAACTGCCTAACCAGTTGGATTTGCTCTAAGAAGAATGAATTTCTGGCCATCTCCCATATGGAAGTAAACATGAACTCTGGCCTCTTCTCCCAGTTGGGGGACAAGGGGTTCTGATCTCTGAGATCTCTCTCCACACCCTGACTCCCAATACCACCCTGCACCCCAGCCTCCTGCCAGCTGGCAGCAGGGCACATCCCAATGGCCCTGGAATGGAAGAGTGAGGGGCACTGGTGGTGAAGGCAGGGTGGGTGGTGAGGACGATGGTCTTGTGAACACCTGTGGACAGGGGGATCTTCACATTCACAAGGAAACTGATGACCCAGGTGGGTCCAGTGGGAAGTGGCCAGGGTGGACAAGGCCTTCAAATCTGAGAAACAAAGTAGTTGGGGGTGCCACACCCAGGGAAGAGAGGAGGAGTCTTTCCATGCTGAAGGGGGACCTGGGGAGGAGAGAAGACCCTTTCTGAGTAGCCCAGGAGGCAGAGAAATGCATGCACTGCAGGTTCTGTGTCTGGACTGATAACAACCATTGTTCCTAATGACCTTTGTTCCTGAGCAATGTGTCCAAGGCTTGACACTGCTGTGTGCCACAGCCCCACGCTGACAGTGACTGCAGCACACACCGCAGTATGCTAGTGCTAACCGTCCCGACAGTGCCCTCCCTTGGTCATCTTAGTCTTCTGCATCCTTAGTTCCTCATACAGAATTGGGGTTGGGGAACAGCCAGTTCCTGTTTGCTGGTTGAAGGAAGGAATGAACCCATATGGTAGGGGCAGGGCAGAAGAGGCAGAGGAATCAGATAGAGCTGGGTTCAAAGTTCTGCTCCTCATCTCCTAGCTCTGTGGTGCTGGGCAAGTCGCTCAGCTTCTCTGAGCCTCAGTAGTCTTGTCTGTGAAATAGGATACCCAGTACTTACTTCTCTGCGTTGCTGTCAGGTTCTGTGTAAACAAAGGGTGGCACAGTGATTGGTGCCTGCCTAAAGGCTCAGGAAACAAAGCAAGAACTTTCTTCCACGTCTCTGCTTGTCCTTGAATCTGTGTGTAGTGTGACTCACCCTTTCAGGACCCCGTCTTTCTGGCATCTTTGAGTCCTCTGCTGCTCCCAAACTTCAAGCCTCAGCCTGTCCCACAAGGGAACAGACACAGGGTACAGAGAGCTGCCCACCTTCACCTTGAGGGAGCCTGGAGGTCAACTCTTTTGTCCAGCCCTCCCTCTGGGGGTCCTTGCCTCTCTACCCCATCCTTCATCTCAGCCAGCCCAAAGGGACATCCCAGAGAACAACTCAAGCTGGAAGGTGCTGGAATTGGTGGGAAAAAAGGCCCACGACGGTGAGGAATGAGTTCCTGAGGCCTGGGTGCCCCACACCCCCTGGGCCTGCCTGCTCCCTGCAGAAGGGTCCCTGGTACCTTCTATTTTCCCAGCCAGGAGGCCGCCGGTTCCCACATTACCACATGAATGGGGCACAAGCCCCCCTGTCCACTCGAGCAAACAATTTGGCTAGCAAATTGACATAATTACAAGAGACAGCGAGGGAAGAAAAACGCTCCCCACCCCCTTGGCCCCCCAGCGGGCGACTCCCGCCGAGTTCCTCTGGGCTTTGTGGGCCGGGCGCTCAGGGCTGATTAGAAACCTTGTGGCCTTTTCAAGAGCCCTAAGTGATTGGTCCCTTAATCTGATTACAATTTGCAGAGCCCCTCCAACCACCTCTGAAGGGCTGTTCTCAAGCGCCCCGCTAGACGATGTGCAAGTACACACACACACACACACACACACACACACACACACACACCGAGCACCCACTTGGGCCTGCTGGGCGGGGGCTCTGCCACTTTCGTCCTCATGCCTCACTCCCTCAGTCAGGCATATCAGGTCCCATTCCCTGTGCCCCAAACCTCAGACACACAAAGGGCCTGACACTGCCCCTAATACATGGGGTTGCCCATCTTTAGAGGGTCTCACACAGATACAATGCCCAGGCCAGGGGCTTATGTGCACACACACTCCTGTGAGTGCACCTTCTTCTCATCTCCCATCCCTTCTCAGGGCGGCTGCCCTGAGCATCCAGGGTTAGGCTGCCTGACCCCATCAAGGGCAGCCTCTCTCCCCAGCAGCGGTATTTCTGGGGCTCCTTGGGCTGCAGCTCCCACGGGATTAGGCCCAGCAGGCTGCCTGGACACCGTTCAGGCACAGGCTGCCCAGGGACAGGACTTGGGCTGCTCCCAGCTTGGGAACTCAGCTCACAGGGACTTTAGTCAATGGCCTCAGCCATCCACATCCAATTTGTATCTCTTAATCCCTGGGACTGAGCCACAATGGCTCCTTTTCCTGTACTTGCTGGGGCTCTCATAGGCCCCAGCCTGGCCTCCCACCCCAAATAGAGCTCCCACTGGGCAGCAGCTCGGGATAGGAGTGGGGTGGGGGGAAAAGCAGGGGCCAAGGCAGAAGTGGACTGAAGTGGGGGCTCTGCCCTTGTTAACTGTTCCACCCTAGAAGATGCAAGTTGGGCGTGTGTATGAGAATAGGGAACATGTGTAGGGCCTTCCGGAGTGACCCCCAGTCTGCTGTAACCCCATCTTTTGTGCATCCCAGTCTGGAGGCCCTGGGAAGGGTATTGTCTACTTAGGAACCCCATCCTTTTGTCAGGTCATCCTAAATACCTGGAGCCTGGAGTCAGAGAGCAGGGAACACGGAGCCCAGGTTCAGACACTGGAATCAGAAGGATCTGTGACCTTGACTGAGTAACTTATCTGATCTAGGCTTCAGTTTCCCCATGTGTAAGATGGGAATGCTGCAGCCTCTCTCTCTCTCAGGGTTGCTGGGAGGCTAAATGAGCTGAGGCACATAAGACCCTCAGCACGGTGCCCAGCGCAGTCAGTGCTCCATGCCAGGTTGTGTCATTGTTCACAAGTCAAGAACAAAGAGGGGACTTGAAGTACAACCATCAAACACACGGATGGGGCAGTCTGTGTGCACCCCCTGTATCCCTGTGGAGAGAAACTTGGGCTCTGCAGGGCTAAGGAACTTCACTTTACAGTTGGGTTTTCCAGGAGGACCTTCTCAGTTGCCCACGTTTGTCATATCTAGCTGATTATGTGACCTAGTGCTGGTTTTAGAAAGAGGGGCCTCAACCCAGATCTCTGCCAGGGAGGTGAGGCAGGAGAATAGGGTCTGAAAGCAGGGAACTTATGGCCAACGCATGGTGACTGGATATCAGAGGCTACTGACTTTTCAACCCCTCCTTTGTGTGGCAGTTGAAAAATGAAAGTACCACTGATTGGTCCCCTCCCACAACCAATCAGACTGGTCGTGGGCCTACTCTTCCCCTCTGGCAACCAATCAGACTGGCCGCAGGCCACTACTTCATTTGCATAGAGTGAACCAATGGGAAACTTCTAGAGGGTATTTAAACCTCAGAAAATTCTGTAACCCATGCTCTTGAACCACTTGCTCGAGGCTGCTCCCACCCTGTGGAGTGTACTTTTGTTTAAATTAAATCTTTGCTTTCACTGCCTTGTTTTGTTTGTGTGTTTTGTCCAGTTCTTTGTTCAAAACGCCAAGAACCCAGGCAACTACCCTTAACTGGTTACATATGTTGGGGAACCAGTCAGGAGGTAAGCCCAACGTTTAGGATTTATTTTTCTCTTTTTCCTCTTTCTCTCTTTTTCTCTCCAACTCAGGACCTTCGGTGGATAGCGCCTATGCACAGAGGCAACTGCAGGTTTCTGGCCAGGGCTACTTTATGGTGAAACCAAGAGGTTTCTATGTGGAAGCACCTAACCCCCACTGCCTGGCTTGGGTGAGGGACCAAGTCCTTTTCTTTTTCAGTCTTCGAGGGGCCGTTTCCTAGCAGCTCTTTAATAATTGAGGGCAATTGGCCAGGACCACCCTCTGGTGTTACCTGAAGGCCAAGGAGTGAACGGGTATAGCTGCCTGCCTGGAAGCAGGAAGGACTCTTTTCTGTCTTGTCCAGTTATCATCCCTGAACCCTCCATGTGATGCAGTTGACAGTGGCAGCCCATCCAGGGTGAGCTTACATTTCAGGCGACTTAAACCTTGTTTTCTTATGCTAAATTCTTTCCTTCCCCTACTCAACTGGCTAAGGACAAGTCAGAGGGTTTGGGCAGATGGTTTGTGTGTGTCATGTGGGGGGATTCATAAAAGGGAATTTATGTACAATTTAATCTCGCCTAAATTTAGAAAGTTAAATAATTGTTTTAAGTGGGATAGGAAAAAATCCAAAGGTTTGACTGAAAATTAATTTCTAGAAGTCAATGCCTTCATCCAGGGACAAGAGGGAAAGTTCATAGTGGGCCATCAGTGGTGGAGGAAACCATTCCATAGTGGTGTCGGATCTAAGGTCAGAGACATCCGATAGACTAAGATGGGGCCCTAAAGAAGGATGCCCCCCCCAGGACCCCAGTCAGGGCCCAGAATTTTTCCAGGGGGATGACCCGTGTAAAATTTGGGTCACCTAATGAGCCCTCCACTTGTCATAGTCCTCTTCTCTTTTCCAGACCACTATGGGCAACTCTCCATCAATTCCACCTGTCCCTCTATGGGTAACTCTCCATCTATTTCACCTGATTCCCTGCTTGGCTACATCCTCCACCACTGAAATCAACTTGACCCTGACAATCTAAAGAGAAAATGTATGATTCTCTTTTCCTGCAATACTGTTTGGTCTCATTATGAGCTGCTCAGCCTGGAACAGCGGGTGGTCAATAGTAGCCTTAATTATGACACCATCCTGCAATTAGACCTATTTTATAAAAGGCAGGGCACATGGTCAGAAATCCCACACATACAGGCCTTCATGGCACTATACCAAAACCCAATAATCCCCGCAAAGGAAAGTCCAAATGCAGAACTAGATATAGACAACCCCTTTTCACAAGGGCCACCTCTCTCTCAGGGTGACAGAAACCACCCCCATATAACCCCTTGCCGAGGGCTCCTGAGGCTAAAACCAAAACACCGGGGACCCTACTAAGTCCCCCTCACACTTGGAGGAGAACACCATATTCAACTCTCCCGTCAGCCCTGCTACCCATTGCGGAAGTAGCAGGAGCGGAGGGGACAGTCCTAGTGCAGGCCCCCTTCTCTGTAACTGATGTACAACAATGTAAGGAAAAGCAAGCAAGCTATTCCAAGAATCCCGGGAAATTTGCAGATGGGCTCCAAACTTTGACCTTAGCCTTTGATCTCTCATGGAGAGATGTTCAATTCATTCTAGCAACTTGTTGCACCCCTTTTGAAAAGGAATGAATCTTTGAGGCTGCCCGCCAGGAAGCAAACAATTTATTTGCCCAAAACCCACAGGGCAATCACCTGGGCCCAGACATAGTCCCCACTACTGACCCTAATTGGGACTATAACACACCCGTGGGTATAAACAACTGGGCTAAAGTTCTTGAGGCTCTCCTTGGAGGAATGAAAAAGGAAATAACTAAGGCCGTAAATTATGATAAAGTAAGTGAGGTTACACAGGGCAAGAAGGAAAATCCAGCCATGTTTTATGACAGACTGAAGGAAGCCTTTAAAAAATATACTAATCTGGACCCTTCCTCTCCTGAAAGCAAAATATTAATGGCACATTTCATTCACCAATCCACCCCAAACATTAGACATAAGCTCCAAAAGCTACAGGTGGGGCCACAAACTCATCACAATCAGCTTCTTGATATCACCTTTGTGGTGTATAACAATCATGATCTGGTGGAAGGAAAAAAAAAAGAGTAAAGAAAAATAGCAAGCCAAAATTATGGCAGCCATCATCGGCAATGCCTTGAATGCCCAGAAAGCATCCAAGGGAAACCCAAAGGGCCAGAATGATGATGCCAGAAAGGGCTCTTGCTTCAAGTGCAAGAAAGCTGGGAACTGGGCAAAGGACTGTATTCATCCCCCTCCAAGCCCCTGCTGAAAATGTGAGGGCACCAATTATGACCCCTGGCACTGGAGAATTCATTACCTTTGCTCCTACCGAGGAGCTCCATCAGGTAAAACCCTAGCTGTGTACAAGGAGGAATCAAATGAAGACTGAAGGGGCCCCAGGTCTTCCTCACTGCCCCTGTCTAGAAATATCGTAATTACTACTGAGAAGCCCTGGGTAACTCTGTAGGTCATGGGCACCCAAATTAAGTTTCTTTTTGATACAGGGGCAAGTTACTCTGTTCTTACTGCTTATACAAGAAAACTTTCTTCCCGGTCCGCAAGTGTTATGGGAATGGAAAGAAAGCCACAAACAAGATTATTTACTCCTCCTTTGATTTGTCAATTTAAGAAACAAATCTTCCAACAGGAATTTCTAGTAGTACCAAGATGCCCAGCCCTCCTGCTGGGAAGAGATACTATGGTTAAAATAGGGGCACTACTATAATTTAAGCATCACCTAGTGAAATTGCTAATAGTAAAAAATACGGACAGTGTCCCAGACCACATTAATAAACAGATTAACCCACTAGCATGGTATACTGGGAAACCAGGGAAGGCCAAAACAGCAGTGCCAGTCAAAATATGGCTTAAAGATCCTAGCTATTTTCCCAATTGAAAACAATACCCAATTAAGCTGCAAGCAAGAAAAGGCCCAGTGCCCATAGTTGAGGTATTACTTACCCATGGGCTCTTAAAACCTTGCAATTCTCCCTGCAATACTCCCATCTTACCCATTCTAAAGCTTTTGGGGGAATACCAGCTAGTATAGCATATCAGAATAATTAATGAGGCTGTTATCTCTCTCCACCCATTGGTGGTGGATCTATGTACTCTCTTGGCTCAGGTGCCAGGGGATGCAAAATGGTTCTCAGTCCTACACATAAAAGATGCTTTCTTTTTCATTCCTCTGGTCCCAGAGTCCCAATACCCTTTTGCCTTTGAATGGGAAAATCCTAATACCAGAGAAAAACAACAATACACTTGGACAGTGCTCCCCCAGGGCTTTCAGGATAGCCCCCACTTCTTTGCCCAACCCTTAGAGAGGGATCTGAGGGGTCTGAAACTGGGGGACGGGAATATACTCCAGTATGTGGATCACCTTCTTGTGTCTAGCCCAGCCCAAGAGGCTTCTGACAAAAATACTATAAAAACCTTACATTTCCTGGCTTACAGGTGATACAAAGTTTCAAAAAGAAGACTCAGATTACTCTCCAACAGGTCCACTATTTAGGGTATATCCTAACACCTGGAACCTGGCAAGTATTCCCAGAATGAGTGCAAGCCATATGTGGTTTGCTTCCCCTCCTCCCCACCCCAAGCAGCAGTTTCATTCTTTTTGGGGAATGTCTGGGTTTTGTGCAATATGGGTACCAAATTTAGGGCTCATGGCAAAGCCCCTGTATGAAGCAACAAGGAGGCCTGAAAATGAGCTAATGGAATGGACCCTGGAAATGAGAGAAGCCTTTGCAAGCTGAAATAAGCCCTTACCCAGGCTACAGCTCTTGGGATCCCAGACCTAATTAAGCCCTAGTCTTGTATATAGCAGAGACGAATGGCATAGCTCTGGGAATGCTAGTCCAGAAATAGGATCAGAGCCCGGACCAAACACCTACTTTTCAAAGACGTTGGAGAGGGTGGCCTTGGGATGGCCAAACTGCCTGTGGGCAACAGCAGCCACTGCTATGTTAGTGGAGAAAGCCACTAAAATCACCCTGAGCCAATCACTGGAAGTTCTAACCCCAGATCAGGTAAAGTCAGTCTTAGAGATAAAGGGACACATCTGGATGATGGGGGAAAGATTAACCAAATACCAGGCCATGCTCCTAGACAATCCAGATGTAACCCTTAAAACCTGTAATACTTTGAATCCAGCTTCATTAATACCCATAGGCCCAATAACAGATCATTCCTGTGAGCCAGTCATTGCACACACATGTTAGCTGGCCTAATTTAAAAGATCAGCCTCCCCCAGATTCTGAGGACTTGTTCACAGATGGCAGTTCTGTGTCAAATGCAGAGCACTGAGCTGCGTATGCAATAGTCAATCACATCACCATTATCTAAGCCCAGTCACTGCCCCTTGGCACATCAGCACAAAAGGCTGAAATCATTGCTCCCACCTGAGCATTAATGTTGAGACAAAAGAAAAAGCTTAATGTCTATACAGATTCTACATATGGCATTCCTTGTAGTTCATGCTTATGCTACAATCTAGAAAGAAAGGGGACTACTACCTAGCAAACACTCCCCCATAAAGCATGGGCCTGAATTTCTTCAGCTATTGGAAGCAATACACCTGCCAAAGGCCATAGCTATAATCCACCATAGGGGGCGTCTAAGGGACTTAACCCCTATAGCACAACGGAACAGAAATGCTGATAAAGAAGCCAAAGCCACATCCCTCAGGGTGCAATCCCAACAGATCCTAGCACTGATTTCCTTTCTACAATTCCCAATGGATCCTGAACACACACTACAGGAAGAACAGTTAATAAAGGAACAAGGGCGGGAGGGGGGCGGGGCAAAAAAAAAAAAAAAAGGATCCTGGTGGTATATGGGATCAAAAATACATCTGCCTCAAACAGCCCAGTGGAGAATTATAAAAACCCTGGGTGACTCCTTCCATAGGGGAGAGATGCCACCCTGGCCATGGTTAACAGGCTCTTCATTGGGCCTGACTTAGCTTCGGTGGTCAAGCAGGTCTGTCAAGCCTGCTCACTGTGTGCACTTAACCCAGGAAACAAAATGTCTCCTCTAATAGAACCAGTCCAGAGGAGAGGAACTTACCCAGGGGAAGACTGGCAATTAGACTTCACTCATATGCCAGCTTGCAGAGGATACAAGTTTTTGTCAGTGCTAATAGATATCTTTACTGGTTGGGTCGAAGCTTATCCTGCCAGAACAGAGAAGGCTAATGAGACTATAAAGTTTCTCTTAAAAGAATCCCCTGGTTTGGGTTACCTCAGAGCCTCCAAAGTGATAATGGCACATCTTTTATCTCCCAAATAACTCAAGGGGTTGCTAAGGCTCTTGGATTCAAATACTATTTACATTAAGCATGGAGGCCTCAATCCTCCAGGAGAGCAGAAAGGGCTAACCAAACTCTAAAATGAGCGTTAGCTAAACTATGTCAGGAAACATCAAAAACTTGGGTCAGTTTACTGCCTCTAGCCCTCTTAAGAATCCGTTATACCCCTAGAGCGAAAATTAAAATAACCCCCTATGAAATGTTATATGGAAAGCCATTCTTAACTAATGATCTAATTACTGATCCAGAAACAGCTGATTTAGTAAAATACCTAGTTAACTTAAGATAATTTCAGCAGGCTTTGCAAAAGTTTGGAACTCAAAGGCTCCCCATACCGGGAATTAACCAGCAACCCAAAATCAGGCTAAGGGATAAGGTACTTGTTAACACATGGAAGGAGGGATCACCTGCTCAACAATTGCAACCCCAATGGAAGGGACCATTTTCAGTGGTACTGGCTATGCCTTCTACCGTCAAGGTACTAGGATTAGATACTTGGATACATGTTTCAAGGATCAAGTCTGTGATACCTGAAGCCCCGGACCAGGAGCCTGAAGCTCCCATCAGACAGCCAAAAGACAAGTAAATGTCTACCAACTTTCCTTGGTGTTTCTGTTGCATAGTTACTGTAGGCTGGATAATAGCAGCCATGTTCTCAGATTTTTTGCAGTTTAATTGCTTTCTTTCAAATGATTGGAATCACTTCCTTTATAGTAATTAAGCAGACTGTTGTAATTCATTCCTATAACAAACATTCCTGACAGCATAGGTATCCACCCCCTGAAGTTCCCATTAAATCTTTTAACCAAATTCATTTCCTCTCACCTAGAGACCATCAAGCTTCAGATGATCCTGTGACAAGGTTTTCAGCCTGTTCCAAATGAAGACAGCACCCCTGGCCATCAAGAAACTACCCTGTCTCCACTCAATAGATCAGGGCGGGAGTTCAGTGATCCCCAGTAGGTAGGGACTGCGCCTCAAGTCAGTGTGACACAGTTACAGAAGAAAGACCATCAGTCCATCTGTCCCCTATAAAGATTTCCGGGGATCGTGTCTCTCAGGGGGGAAATGAGGCAGGAGAATAGGGTCGGGAGGCAGGGAACCTAAGGCTGATGCATGCTGACTAGATATCAGAGGCTACTGCCTTTCAATCCCTCCTTTTTCTGCATGGCAGTTGCTGCTTGGCAGTTGGAAATGAAAGTACCTTGGATTGGTCCTCTTCTGCGACCAATCAGACTGGTCTCGGGCCACTACTTTATGTGCATAGAGTGAACCAATGGGAAACTCCTGGAGAGTGTTTAAAGCCCAGAAAATTCTGTAGCCCAAGCTCTTGAGCTGCTTGCTGGAGCCCGCTCCCACCCTGTGGAGTGTACTTTCGTTTAAAATAAATCTCTGCTTTTGCTGCCTTACTTTGTACATTTTGTCCAATTCTTTGTTCAAAATGCCAAGCACTTGGACAACTATCCTCAACCGGTAACAGATGCACTGGGCATAGGCTCTCGGTGCAGCCTGCACATGGCCCAGCCAGTGCTGGCCCTCTGCCCTCCCTGTGCAGCCCCCAGGACCTAGGTCATGTGATCAGGAGGAGGGGTGAGCCCCAGAGCCCTAAAAGCCTGGCCCTGGGTTGGGCCCAATACTGTTGGCCTGGTGGTGCTTGGGATTGGGGTGGGGATTGGTGGGAGGTGGGCTTCAGGAACCCCCCCCAAAACCCCCTGGCATCCCCAGCCACATCACCCCACACCCTCTCAAGCTGCGGGCCCCCCCAGGCCCTTCCTAGGCGTATGGGGCTGGGCCAGGCGACTCTACTGGGGGAGGGAGACTGGGGCTCAGATCAGCTGAAATCAAAGCCACAGCTCTCCTCCCCGCCACACCGCACCCCTGCCGAGCGCCGCGCACCTCCTCCTTTGTCACAATGTTTTTCAATCCGGTGAAGCAAACTGTCCAATTAGAGCCAGGGCCTCCGGCTTCCATCTTTGCCGACGTTTAATTAACATGCTCCTCTTGGCAGCTGCTGACAAGTTCCAGAAACAGGTTGTAAAGGGTTTTTGTCTTTACCCAGCATGGAAAATGAGCGGTGTTACATCGCGGGAACATGAATAGGTTGCATTTCGATCCCACCTTCCCCTCCCCACTGAACTAGTAAGAGGCATGCAGCCGTGTGTGTGTGTGTGTGTGTGTGTGTGAATTGCAAGGGGGCAGAGGAGAGGGCGGAGTTGGAGGCTGAGAGACCTCCTCCCTCTTCCCTCACCCCTTCTTCCCAGGAGCCTTTGCTCCACAAAAGATCCGGATTCCATGTCTTATTCTCCAACTGGCACACTTTTGCCTCACCTCTCTTCTAGCCAGTAACATACTTCACCGTGTTAATTCCTACCCATGGGTCTGTGCCCATGCTGCTTCTTTGCCATCCTTCTGGTAAACTCCTATTCAGCCTCCAGAACCCTGATCAGGTGGCCCTGCTTTGAGAAGCCAACGGGGCACAGACTTCCTGTCCAGCCACACCTGTCAGAGTTCAGCATGGATTCTGAGGGTCAGGTCTGTCCCCCAGCTAGACTGTGAGACCCTGAGACCAGGAAGTGTGTACTACTCTGCCCAGGGTGGTGGTGAGCCTGGGAGATCTACCCTCCTGAAACCTTCCCGCACTGTCCAGGGAGAAGAAGGCTGGCTTGGCAGAGAGGAAGAAGGGAAGGGATGGGGAGGAGGAGATGGGCCCAAAGAAGCCCTCCCTCCCTTCTCCCAGTCCTGCTGGAGTGCCCAGAGCAGGACCACATGGAGGGCACAAAAGGGATGCCAGATTTCTCAAGGACTGAGTTTCTGGAGTAGCTGATGGAGGGGGCTTGAAGCAAGACCCCAGCCCAGAGCTGAGCCCTGCTGGGTGCCCCAGGCTGAAGGCAAGCTCCAGCACCCAGGTTCTGCTTCCTCAGCCTGGGATGGTTTTCCTTGTAGTGTGGGTGGTACCCTTGGATGAAGGTAAGGGCTGGGGCAGAAGCAGATCTCTTAGGTCCTTTTCTCTCTCAAACTGGCCCCATTGGAGCACTCACACCCATTTTACAAAGGACATCAAGAATGTTTATTCCCGGAGGCTGCCACCTACACAACACAGAGAAGTCTAGGGGACCCAGGGAGCATAGGAGATGCTGGCTGATGTGCAGGCAGTGGGTAGAAGAGCCTCATAGGTGGTGACTGGCAGCTAAGTTGTCTCCTAGGAGTGCTCAGGTTCACCCCCAGGCTGTAGCGCCACTCTGAGCCTGTTTTTCTCCAGTGTGGCTAAGACCCCAGGCAGAGGCAGAACTTCTGCAGTCAGAACCTGGCTTGGATGCCCACTTTGTTTGTAGCTTCTCCTTCTCCATTCTCAGGCAGACCCCCTGGGATGAAGGGGAGGGAAGGGATGGAGGCACCTCGAGGCCAAGCCAGCAGGTGGGGGTGCTGCTTGCTTGCTTTTGTGTCCCTAGTTAGGTCAGCACCAGCTCCTCTGGAGCCCCGGGACAGTCTGTGGAGCCTGCAGGGAGACAGCCAAGAGCAGTGGGTCACTGCCCTGTCCTGCTGTAGCCTCTCAGGTACCATTTTCTTTTCTGGATGGGGTGGACATTAAAGGCAACTGGGCATAGCCTCACCTTTCTCTTTCCTGGCACCCTAACATCCTCTCTTGCCACATCGCTCAGCCTCTTGTCCCAGACCCAGCTATTTCCAAGCTCTGGCCTCCAAGGAAGTTAAATAACAATAATAAGAACAGTAACAATGACCAGCAAGGACCTCAGTTTCTCCACTTGCTAGTTGCGTGATCTTGAAGAACCAGAACTTCTCCGAGCCTTAGTTTGCTCATCTATCAAAAAGAGGGCAGTAATTCTACCTGCCTTGTAGAGATCTTGGGAAGGTTAGATGTGAAAGCCATGAGCAAGGGCTTGGTGCATTCTGCAGAGGAGGAAAAGTATTAGTTGATGGAAAAAAGGAGGGGAGGGTGGGTCTCGTCTGAGTTGAGCAATTGAATACAGCCAGACCTGTCAGCTACACTTTTATAGATGAGGAAATCAAGGCACAGTCTCTGGAGTGAAGAGATTCTCAAAGTCACACAGCCAGCAGGCACAGTCACAAAGCCAAGTGTGCCCCCAGGTCTCCTTCCATGCCCTTGTGTCTTCACATGTTTCTGTGTCTGTCCTGGATGCACGTTGTCTGACTCTAAGAAGCTCTCCTGCCAACCCGTGTGCCCACTGCACCTCAGGCAGGAGGGGTGGAAGCCCTCATTTCTTGATGTTTGCTTTTTGTCTCTTTGCTGGCAGCATCTGATTCTGAGAGCTGGGCCCCCACTGGGAGAACCTCCCTGTCATCCCCACAGACCAAGCCAAGCCCATACTCACCTGCTCCTCACCTGCCCTGGGAGCCTAGGGTACCAAGGGTACCGAGGAAGCCATGGGTAGTGGGGACACCATGGGTACTGAGGGTACTGAGGGTCCTGAGGGCTTGAAGGTGGGGTCTTCAGGGATGTAGACAGTGCTGTTCCCTTCAGGCATCTGCAGAGAGAGGATGCAACTCTGAGGGCCCTGTCCCAGGCCAGGCAAGGGTGTCCCTGGTGACTAGAACCTCCTGGAGCTGCAAATGGTGTGTGGCGAGCGCCACCTTGTGATCGCCATGCGGATCACATGCCACGGAAAGCAGGGTGGTCCTTCAACACAGGTGTCCTGCCCCTACCTTATATTAGGCACTATCCTGGGTGCTGGGGCATGGCAAGGATAAGACAGGGTCCTTGCCCCGTGAGAGTAATGGTGAGGCATTCCAGTGAAATGCCCAGTGACAGTAAGAGTTGTAAGTGCACACCAGAGGCTTATAACCCAGCCTGGGGGATGCTGAGAAGTTGTGCTGAACCCACTTTTAAAAGATGAGTAGGAGTAAGGGGCAGAGGCAGTAAAAGGCAGTATGGCAAGCTCTGTAAACTGCAGACAGGTCCGAAAGTGGGGTAGGGAAGGTGCAGGGAAGGCCAGAAGTGGGTAGAGAGGTAGAGTGCAGGCAGGGCAGGTCAGCCCTGCCCTTGCCTCATCCGTGGTCCTAGGGAACACTGGTCCAATCCCCATCCTTTGAGAAGCCACCTCACTCCCAAGGTAAACCACTCAGGGCCTCAGGGACTGCCTGATAGTGTTCCTTCCATTGGCATGGAATTTCATTATTCCCAACCAGGTACAGCCAGCCCTCCATACCCATGGGTTTTGTATCAGCAGGTTACACCTATCACAGGTTGAAAATATTCAGAAAGAGCAACAAGAAAAAATGACAATACAACAATAAAAAATGATACAAATAAAAAACAATACAGTATTTACATTGCGTTAGGTAGTATAAGTAATCTAGAGATTACTTAAAATACGTGGGAGGATACATGTAGGCTTATATGTAAATACTATGCCATTTTATATCAGGGACTTGAGCATCCCAGCAAGGGATCCTGCAACCAATTCCCTGAGGTTACTGGGGGATGTCTGTACTGCTCAAGGTATATAGAGCTGAGAGGTGTGAACTTGCAATAAATTACAAAGATCCAAACAGAACCAAGAGGGAACTTCTACATGGGGGAATTGATAACATTTCTGACTTATTTCATTAGCATAAAATCTGTGTGCTTTCTAATTGTGGTGTCTAAAATAGTTTAAGTTCTGACTTTATTAAATATAGAATAGAAATAATTATCCTGTGAGAAAAGAAAGTTTATTAGGAATGTAATAACACAGAACAATTCTTATGATAGAGCAGTAAGGAGAAAGAGACGGATACTAAATTGGGTGAATAATACAGTCTCAACCATGTAAGAAAAATCTATGCAGAGAAAAAAAGATAGAAAGGAAATATATCAGAAAACGTTAATATTGCTTGACATACGGTGATGGGATTTCTATGTTTCTCTATTTCCAGATTTTCTTTAATGAGCACCTAGTCATTTTTAATTAAAACATTTTTAAAGAGTTAATTTAAGAGACATTCGTTATATGCATGAAGTTATAGTAGATATTAGTTAAAATTACCCTTAAAACTTCTGGTATGGTTTTAAAAATACAGAGCTAAGTGAAAGGCATTATGGGTGGCCCCTTGTCCCAGGAGCCACAGACACAGGCCAGTCCTCACCCTGTCATGAGGGGACAGTGTAGGAAGCATGAGGGGAGTCCTGCCATCCTGCATCATCCAATGGCAAGTGGGCACCTCCAATCATGATTCATGGGGAGAGGTCTGCCTGAAGTCACAGAAAGCCCAGATTGCGGCATTTTAAGGAAACTGAGTTCTGTGACATTCCACCACTTTCATATCTAGAACAATGTTCCTCAAGCTGCTCAAAGTGGTGGGATGCTGCAGAACTCAGTTTCTTTCTTTCTTTCTTTTTTTCTTTCTTTTTTTTTTTTTTTGAGATGGAGTCTCGCTCTGTCATCCAGGCTGGAGGGCAGTGGCGCGATCTCAGCTCACTGCAACCTCTGCCCCCTGGGGTTCAAGTGATTCTCCTGCCTCAGCCTCCTGAGTAGCTGGGATTACATGCAGGAGACACTGAGCCCAGCTAATTTTTCGTATTTTTAGTACAGATAGGGTTTTGCCATGTTGGCCAGGCTGTTCTCGAACTCCTGACCTCAGGTGATCTGCCCGCCTTGGCCTCCCAAAGTGCTGGGATTATAGGCATGAGCCACTGCGCACAGTCCAGAACTCAGTTTCTGTATCGGAATCACCTGGGAGCTTGTCACTTGCAGAGTCCTGGTCCCTACTGAATCAGAACCTCTGGGGTGGTGCCTGGGAAGGTCTCCAGGTGGTTCTTATGGAGACTGAAGTTGAGCACTGCACTGTGATTCCTAACCCAGGCTGGGTGTTAGAATCCCCAAGAAAGCTTTAAAAAATTCTAACATCTAGACCCTACCCCAGAGCAGTTAAATCCAAGTCTCTGTGGGCTGGGGCCTGGACTTTGGAATGCTGTCAAAGCTCCCTAGGTGATTCCAGTGTGCATCTTAGTGCTGAAAACCACTGCTCAAATACAGTGGTGCTTAGACTTGTTTGTCATCAGAATCACCCGGGGGCTTGTTAAACCAGAGTGCTGGACCCACTCCCTTGTTTTGGAATCAAGATGTCTGAGGAACTTAAGATTTTGCACTTCTCTCTCTCTCTCTCTCTCTCAATCTTGCTCTATTGCCCAGGCTGGAGTGCAGTGGCACCATCATGGCTCACTTTAGCCTCCACCTCCTGGGCTCAAGTGATCCTCCCGCCTCAGCCTCCAGAGTAGCTGCGACTATAGACGCATGCCACCACGTCTAAGTTTTCTATTATTTTTTATAGAGAAGGGGTCTCCCTATGTTGCCCAGGCTAGTCTCAAACCCCTAGGCTCAAGCTGTCCTCCTACTTCAGCCTTCCAGTGTAGGAATTACAGTTGTGAGCTACTGCACCCGTGAGAATTTGCACTTCTAACCAGTCTGCAGGTGATGCTGATGGTGCCGGGCACCATACTGTGGGGACCACTGCTCTAGAATAAAGCTGACTGAGTCTTTAGGGACAAGAGTAAACTCCAGCTGCAGCCCTGACTGTAGGTTGCTTCTGTCACCCCCGCTAGGGTGTGCAGAAAGAGAGGTACACACCACCCACTCCGAGCCCTGGGGTCTAGAGGGAAGAGTCTTCAACCTCCATGAGATACAGCCTCCCCCGATGAAGAAGTAGGGTAATGCAGGCTCTGACCCCCACCCCCGGCATCTGGGTCTGCAGGCCCCAGCCCAGCTGATGCAGGTGGAGGCGGGGAGGGAACGCAGCTGCACTCCTTCGGAGGGACAAATCCCTCAGAACTCACCTCCCAGTAGACTGCATCCTCAAAGCAGTTCTCATCTGAAGGTTGTCCCCAGAATGGTAATCTCAAAATAAGCCCTACAGAAAGTTGGAGATTACAGGATGTCAGGAAATGCCTTCCCTCTGCTCACCCCAGCCATTTCCCTCAGCTGGGAAAATCCTCCTAGGGCCCTTGGGCTGAAGTCCAAATTGCCTCAGTCCTGTAGCTAGAAGTGCAGAGATTAGGGATTCCTGGAGGCTCCAGGCTGACCTGTGCTGCACGCCCTTTGGTTCCCCACCCAGGGAGCCCCACAGCAGTCCCCCCTTCTCTGGCTCAGCCATTCCTGCTCACCCACAATGATGCCACCCATCAGGGCCATGGCCAGGGTCACCAAGAGACCATAAATCTGGAACTTTCCCTGTGTTCTTGCAGTCCAGTCCCTCTTGAAATCTTGAAAGTCAAAGGAATGGACAAGCCTGGGGTGGAGACAGGGGGCAGGTCAGGGCCCCATGGAGAAGCCAAGTAACCGCTTGCTGCCACCCCAAAAATGTGAGCAGGTACCATGGGCCCCAGACTTCCCACCACAACATGGGGACACCAGACATACCAGTTGGCCTCTAATGGGAAGGGACAGAGTTTGGGGAGAGAGGCCCATGAAACAATTGGTCCAGAGTGGGGAAGGAAAGGGAGAAAGAGGCAGTTGGGTCCCAGAGGAATAGCAGGAAGAAGGGATGGGAGAAGGAAGGGGGAAGCTCTGTCCCACTGCGCCTCCTCCACATTTACCCTTCTTTTCCATAGACTTCAAGGCTGGCGGAGGCCGCTGTCACAGCACCCACGATGCCGCCTATGATGCCAGGAATGCCATGCAGATTGTTAATGCCACATGTGTCCTGGATGTGCAGCCGGGACTCCAGGAATGGCTGGAAAGGGGAGGTGGGTGCTGCTCAGGCCAGGGGCTGCATCAAGGTTGTGGGGAGGTGGGGATTCCAGAGGCCCTCAAATACACAGAGACCCAGGATTCTCTAGCCCTCAGTCCCCTTCCTAGGAACCCTCAGCTCACTGTCAGGAACACAAAGACCTCAGCATTCTCCAGCCCCCAGCCCCTTGCCTGGGACACTTACGGTCAGGTATACAAAACCCAGGGTCGAGATGATGCCACAGATGAAGCCGATGATGAGGGCGCCGTAAGGCATGAGCATCATCTCAGCAGCGGTACCCACGGCCACCCCTCCTGCGAGCGTGGCATTCTGGATGTGCACCTGGGCAGGGCAGGCAGAGCAGGCAAGAACTCAGTCCTCTCCCTGGAGCACCAGGCCTGGAGGAGCTCACTCGCTGGCTGTGCGAGGGTGTATCCTGGGCCTTGGGAGCCAGGGATGGCTGGGAGTTCACCTCAGCAAGCCAGGAGCGTGCAGAGGACTTCAGCCCCTACCCAGGCTTGCTACAGCTGCTCCCTGAGTCTCTCTGCACACGCCACCCATCCCACCTAGCAGGTCTGGGCATTTTCCACGTGCTGGTGCACCTGCCAGTGAGCCCTGACAACAATCACACAGTTGTTTTATGTGTACCATGTATACCTGTGTGCCCAGACTAGCGTGTCTGAATGTTCTTGCCGTGGATGCAAGTCCACGTCAAGTGCCTATGGGGTCTAGCCATACACACGTACTGGCTGCAGCTGTCTGAACGCTAATCTGCACCGGGTGCCGTGCTGCTGGCTGTGGAGGTCAGCTCTTTCCATCTCTACAAGTCTGCAAGGTGAGGACAGTTATCTTGCAACATTTGCAGACGAGGAAACTGAGGTGAGGGGGGTTAAATGACTTGTCCAAGACCACAGAGCTAGCAAGACGCAGAAAGGTGTCTTGATCCAGGCTGTATGGCCCCAGAGTCCCTGTCCTTGACCCTATTCCATGTCACTCCCTGCAAGTGGGTATGGATACACACAGGTGTGCCCATCTGTGTCTGATTCCCTTCCCCAGGTGCCTGAGTCCCCACCTCTCTGCCTGGTGACAGTGTCCCCAACTAATTGATACTCCTGACAATGTCTCAGCACACATATGCCCATGTCAAGACGCTTGTGTCAGATTATAAGACAGGTTGGGTGCAGTGGCTCACGCCTGTAATCATAGCACTTTGGGAGGCTGAGATGGGTGGATCATTTGAGGTCAGGAATTTGAGACCAGCCTGACCAGTATGGTGAAACCCCTCTCTACTAAAAATACAAAAATTAGCTAAATTATCTGGGCATGGTGGCCTGAGCCTGTAGTCTCAGCTAGCTGGGAAACTGAGACAGGAGAATTGCTTAAACCTGGGAGGCAGAGGTTGCTGTGAGCTTAGATAGCGCCACTGCACTCCAGCCTGGGTGACAGGGCAAGACTCCATCTCAAAAAAAAAAAAAAAAAATTACGAGGTAAAGAATGTCCTTGCTCTGGGTGCTGCTGAAAACTGGCCATGTTCTCAAAACAAATCATTTCTCCCCCAGCCTCATCTGCAAGATGGGTGTGATGATCCCCTCAGAGCTGTTGGCAGGGCATGGTGATCAGCGCCCTCCAGGCCCAGGCAGTCAGAGCCACACCCCCAATGCCCTCATGCTCACCATGTCCAGCTTGCCCTTCTTGTGCAGGGCACTGGATACTGCCACCGAGGTAAGCACACAGGCTGCCAAGGAGCAGTAGGTGTTGATGGCGGCTCGGTGCTGGCTGTCCCCATGGTAGGATATGGCTGAGTTGAAGCTGGGCCAGTACATCCAAAGGAAGAGTGTGCCTGGTCAGACCAGACAGGCCCGATGGGCCCGGGAGGAGAGGCATTAGATAGAGCCCCACAGCTCAGGCAGGCATCCTGTCCTTTAGCTCTAGAGGTGACCCCACACCCAGCTGTTTCCACCTCTGCAGCTTTAGTCATGCAGGGGCTTTTTCTGGAAGGCCCTCCCTGCCTTCCTCACCCCCCACTTAGCCTTCCACACCACTCCAGGGAGTCTACCCTGACCCCCATTTCTGGGCTAAATGCCCGCACCCTGTTCCCCCAGCGCCAGGAGGGAGAATCTTTTCTCCACTGTAGGGAGATCCTCCAGGTGGCACTGCTGTCTATTCCACTACACTGTGAGGAGCTCCTGGAGGGCAGGGCTGGGTTTTGAGAGACCAGAATGGGTGTGGTCAGTGTCTTCTCTGGAATGAATGGACACAGAAGTGGAAGTGCACATCTTGCCCTAGCCCAGGGGATGGAGTGAGCAGCTCCTGGTTACCGCTGTGTCTGCCTTGGGGCATTCTAGGGGAAATACAGGATGAGTGACCAACTTCTTTCAGCTCCATGGGGAAGAGGGACAGATATATGGGATTCTAGAAGTATCTACAGGCAAAGATAGATACTGTCTGCCCTTCCCCCAAAGAGAACTGGCAGCCACCCACCATACCATGTGGGGATCAGGTCTAATCATGGCGGCCTTCACCCATCATGGCCGCCTTCACCCATCATGGTGGCCCTCGGTTATCATGGCAGTTCTCACCAATCATGGCAAAGAGGTCCGACTGGTACGCAGAACTCTGTCTCTCCTTGCTCTGCTCTAGGTTGCGTCGGTAGAGGATCCGGGTCACTGTGAGCCCAAAGTAGGCGCCAAATGTGTGGATGGTCATGGAGCCCCCTGCATCCTTCACCTGGTGTGCAAGGGATCTGTCAGACTCTGGCACCTTCTCTCCCTCCCTCCTCATAGCCGTCCCTATCCTGCCACACACACACGCCCAGAGCTCCAGCCTTCTCGGACTCTTCAGGGTGCAGGATGGAGCCTGGGGCCCTCACAGACCAATCGGCTGGTAATGGGGAGAAGGTAGGGATTCCCGTCAGCAAAATGCCAGGGTGTCCTCACCCAGCAGATTTGGTTGTTCCCAGATAGGGAAACCCAGGCCTGGAGAGGGACTTGCTCATACCACTGGAGGAGGTAAGGCAGAGGCAGAACTGAGGGAAACGCCCTACCTGCTTTGTCATCCACTGGTTTCCACCTCTGTGCCTCTCATTTGACAAGCTCTGCATTTACACCACCTGCTAGTGCCGTAGCAGGGCTGCTATCAGGATTCATGCAGGCGACTTGCCCCTGGCGAGGGCCTGGCACTTAACGGGTGCCCGATTAATGTTGGTCCCACTCACACTCACCTCCCCTTCTCTTTAACCTCCTCCTTCCTGCCCACTCAGAACTAATCTCAGATGAATAGAATCACAGACTCACTCCTTCACTTTAGACGGGGGAAACCCAGCCAGAGAGGTAAGTGTGTCATCCAAGGTCATAGAGCTGGTTGTTGACAGCGCTGGGATTCTCAACTCCCAGCCTAGTGGATGCCTCTACTAGCTGTGTGACCTTAGGTGAGCCCCTTAATCTCTCTGAGACTCAGCTTTCTCATCTATAAAATGGGGGTAAGCCAGGCACAGTGGTGGCTCATGCCTCTAATCCCAGCATTTTGGGAGGCCAAGGCAGGCGGATCACCTGAGGTCAGGAGTGCGAGACCAGCCTGGCCAACATGGCAAAACCCTGTCTCTACTAAAAATACAAAAATCAGCTGAGCATGGTGGTGCGCACCAGTAATCCCAGATACTCGGGAGGCCAAGGCATGAGAATCGCTTGGACCCGGGAGGCAGAGGTTGCAGTGAGCTGAGATCATGCCACTGTACTCCAGAGCGAGACTCTATCTCGGGAACAAAAAAAAAAAAAAAAAAAGAGAGGGTATGCATATTGAGATTCAGTAATGCAAAGGACTGAGAGATGACCCTTGGAGGCAAAGGGAACAGCAAGTGCAAAGGCCTTGAGGTGGGACCAAGCTTTGTGCCTGAAGAGCAGACAGCAAGCTATGACAAAGCACGGGAAGATGGGGAGAGAGTAGACAATATGTGGAGAGAAAAGGTGGTGCCAGAACAGGAAGGGCCTTATAGCAAGTTTGGATTTTCTCCTGAATGAAATGTTAAAACTACTGAGAGATTTTCACTGGGTGAATGGTCTTCTATGCATTATTCATTTATTTGTTTATTTATTTATTTATTTTTTGACGGAGTTTTGCTCTTGTTGCCCAGGCTGGAGTGCAATGGCGTGATCTTGGCTTACCACAACCTCTGCCTCCTGGGTTCAACTGATTCTCCTGCCTCAGCCTCCTGAGTAGCTGGGATTACAGGCAGGCGCCACCACACCCAGCTAATTTTTGTGTTTTAAGTAGAGACAGGGTTTCCTCATGTTGGCCAGGCTGGTCTTGAACTCCTGACCTCAGGCGATCTGCTTGCCTTGGCCTCCCAAAGTGCTGGGATTACAGGCGTGAGCCACCGCGCTTGGCCTAATTTTGTATTTTTAGTAGAGACAGGGTTTCTCCATGTTGGTCAGGCTGGTCTCGAACTCTCGACCTCAGGTGATCTGCCTGCCTCAGCCTCCCAAAATGCTGGGATTACAGGCATGAGCCACGGTGCCTGGCCTCTTCTCTATGCATTATTTATAGGCCACTCTGGCTGCTGGAGATGATTTTCCTTAGGGGCAAGGAAGAATGCAGCCAGGGAGATGAGTCAGGAGGAAGAGATACGGTAGCTTGGACTAATCTGGTAGCTGAAAAAAATTACAAAATGAACGACTGAATTTAGGGTGACCTAAATCACCCCCTGCCAAGGAGGGAGAGTTCCAGACAGAGTCCAAATATAGAAGAGGAGGGTGCTAAGAAAAGGGTGCAGTTTCTACATGAGTTCTCCTACTGTCCAAAAGCACTAAGGAGGCTTCTGAGATAGAGTCAAAGGTCTAAGGTGCCTCTTATCTGAGCTACTGAATTGACCTCCCCCAGGAAGCAGCACTCCTGTCATGGCCCATGTGAATGAGAGCTCTGGTGCTGTGTCGTACACATCATGGTCACTTTGGCCATTCACCTGGGATCCTGCCCTACAGATTTGCCCCCTCAATACACTGGATGTCTTTTCTTGGCAGAGCAATCTGGAAATGTGGTGTGTGTGCAAGAGTATGTGCAGGGATATCCTATTCATTCCATCTGATGTTGAGAAAGAAAGGAGGGGGAAAACACAACATTCAAGGAAGCCCTGCTCTGCCCAGGTGCTGGATTGATCTGCTAGAAGGACGATGATATCTGCCTGTCTGGTACCCACTTTAGAGATGAGAAAACTGAGTGACGTTCAGGAGGTTGAGTGACTCGCCAGGCTGGCATGTCTCCCCAGCTGTATATTTCTCCATACCCTGTCCCCCCAAAGCATCCCCACCACCTCATCCCCATTCTGAGCCCTGCTCACCTTTAGCAGGTTAAGGAGAATGAACTCATTCACAGCAAAGAGGGTCACTTGGAAGAAAGTCATGATGAGCAGTTGAATGGGGCTGACTTTACCCAGAACTGCCCCAAAGGCCACGCAGACAGAGGCCACGCAGAAGTCAGCATTGATGAGACTGTGGGGAGACAGGCCAGTGGAGAAGCTGGGGCAACAGCAAAAAGTAGCACTGGAAGCGCTGGACTTTGGTCATATGTGGATTTCGGCTTGTGGCTGAACCTTTCTGAGCCTCAGTTTCATCATCTACACCAATGGGCACCTAACATTTACAGCTACTCCAAGAATGAAAAGAAACCACACATGAGACAAGACCAGTACAGCAGCACACACTAGATGCCCCCTCCCATGCAGCCCTATCTCAGGCCCCCACTGCTTGCAGACAGCTTGGGCTCAGGGTGCCATGTGGTCTCGCTGCTATTGTTGAGCATGCCCCATATTTTGGGGTCCTGCTTTGCCCTGTAACTTCTACCTCTTTTCCAGAACCTCCTCTTGCTGCCTCCTCTTTCAGGAAGCCTTCCTGTTTCCTCCAACCAGATGCAGGTTCTGCTTCCAGATCCTTATCTCTCACTCTGCACACACCTCTTCTGCTGGTGACCAGGCCTTGCTTGAGTTTGAACTGTTGGGACCTTTCCTTTACCTTACCCATGAGAGAGGATCTGTGTCCAGGGAAGAAACAGAGGCTTTTCTGCAGGAAGGAGGGAGCTGGGGTGGTACTGGATGGAAGGAGGGAGCAGGAAGGCCAGCAGGGAGGATGGAGGCAAAGGGGCAGGTACATAGGTCCTGCTCAAGCCTGGACCCTGAACACCCTGCCAGCCCAGCAGAGGGCTGATGAAGAGGCAGACAGCTGAGTGGACATTGTGTAGACCCTGGTTCCATCCATGTGCCCACTTTGCCCAAGCCTGGCCTCCTTGTCCCCTGCCAGCAGCAAAGCTGTCCTCTGGATTCCAAGGCAAGACCCTCAGTGTGGCTGTTAGGCTGGGAGAGTTGCTGATGGGGTGGGTGTAGGGATAAAAGGGTCTTCCTCAAGACTGTCACATCTAGAGGGGACTCCCTTCCTCTTCCATGCTCAGGGCTGTGTGTGAGAGAGAGAGAATGGAGTGAGGAGCGAGAATGAAACTAATTGTAGGGCCAGTTAGTGGAATGGGGGTGGGGTCCCTCCCAGTCCCTCCCAGTCCCTCCCAATACAGAGTGTTCACTGAACTGTCCACTCCACTATTGCCTCATTCACCACTGTGTCCCCAGGGCCTAATAGGGCCTGGCTAAATGAGTGATGGCAGTTCCTAAGTGCTAGGCTCTGGGGTATCTACTAAGTACTATATATGCTCCCCTGTGCCATCCTTGAGCCATACAAGACAGGCACTGTCATTAGCCACATCATTCAGATGGGACATGGAGAATTAGAGAGGCTGAGTTATTTGCCCAAGATCCCATAACTGCAGCTGGAAGATTCATCTTGATAGAAGTGACCGTTAGAAAGGAGAGAGAGAGAGGCCGGGCACCGGTGGCTCATGCCTGTAATCCCAACACTTTGGGAGGCCAAGGCGGGTGGATCACGAGGTCAGGGGTTCAAGGCCATCCTGGCCAACATGGTGAAACCCCATCTCTACTAAAAATACAAAAATTAGCCAGGCTTGGTGGCAGGCACCTGTAATCCTAGCTACTCAGGAGGCTGAGAATTGCTTGAACCTGGGAGGTGGAGGTCGCAGCAAGCCAAGATCATGCCACTGCATTCCAGCCTGGGAGATAGAATGAGATTCAATCTCAAAAACAAAAAACAAAACAAAACAAAACAAAAAAACAAGGAAAGAGAGAACAGAAAGGCCCATCCCTTGGGCTATCAGCATCTGGGAGATGGAGATCCAGATGCCACATATCTCAGGAGGGCCAAGGAGGCTTGGGCAGGGCTGGCAGAGGGGCACTTTCTACAGTGACAGGTGGAACTTGGAAGACTCTTCAGCAGGGACAGGACAGAAGCCGGTAGGGGCGGGGGGTCCACATCTCTGGATCCACAAGGTCAGGTCTGGGGACTACATGCTTATCCCAGCCTTGGGCGCCAGAAATCAGCTCCAAGTCAGGTGCTGAAAAATCAGTCTCCTGAGAGCCAATTTGTCCAAACTCAGATTTTTCAAGTGACCAACTTGCTGAACAGCTGGTTCACCACAAACCAGTTAACTCACGGTTTGTAATAATCCCCTTTGAATTTTTTTTTTTAGATTAAAAACATTCATTTAGCCATAGCTATTTTGCTGTGGTGGCCAATGATATATATTACAGGTGTTTTTATACTTTGGATCTATGGCTTTGGGAATGATAACTTCTTGTGCATTTTGAACTTCAGGGTGATATGATATGTGTGTCAAGGGTCTTATACACAAAAAGACTCATTTATTGGTTCCAACACTTATCCATTCAACTACCTTTCCTGTTTCTCTTAATTCATGGGTTAATTAGTTGGCTTGGATGAGGTAATTTTTTGCAAATATTTGACACGTGTCCTAGATTTCAGACACCTGGCCTATCAGAACTGGTTGATATCCTAAAAGCAACAGCAGGGATTTGCCCTTTAAAGATGGTTTATACCAGTTCGCCTCTACGCCCTTTCTGTGGACAGTTTATGAGTGAGCTAATGAATGTTCATTTTCAAACACCAATGATTACTTTCTCAGATTAAATTTTTTTTTCTTGAAGGATGGAAGAATGGAGGAAAACAATTTTTTTTTCTTTAGCCAACCTTGTCGTGTATCTACAGAAATAAAAGTCTGCCTAAACTGGACTTAAAGAAGAACCTCCAATAAACTAAAACTTGGTTAAAGCGGGAAAAATCTCCCAAAGGCTCTTGATTAGGACCTGAGCAACAGAAATTGCTATAGGTTTCATAAGTTGCCATGGGATAGAGAGTTTGATAAAGGAGTCATTCAGTGAGCTGACCACTTTGTCCACTGATTTTTTGGCAAGTTGGCTTTGGGTGAATTTATTTTATAACCTGTTGGTGGTGTTGTGGGTTGGGGAGGTGTGTTGAGGCTTGGAGGAGGTCACTGCAGAACAGAGGGAGGGGCTGAGTAACCTGACAAGAAGGGGCTGGTGGTGCTCATCAGGCCAAGTCATCATAGAGAAGTCATGAGAAGGACGGAGCTGAGAAGTGATGGTGGGGTGCTCCACCCTTGGAGGCTGAGGCAGGGGGAGGGGGGTTTCAGCCCTAACACTCCACACCCACACCTGTCTCACAGCTGTTTCCAGCACCTGTTCCCTGGGGTGGGTGGGGCGGTGAGGCAAGGCAGGGAGAGAGGTACTTCCATTTGGCTGGAGTCCCCATTCGATGTTCCCTTCACAAGGAGCCTCAGAGGCTGGCGCAGACATCCCAGCTCTCCCACCAGAGTCCCGTGGGCTGCGGTCTCTCAGGGCACAGGGCTGGGCGATTTTGATGTGCCGGGCCCGGCTGCATCCGGCCGGACCCTGCCCCCACAGGAAAGTCTAGCCTCAAGTCCCTGCAGCTTTTGTCGTAGGAGAAGGGAGACCCTCCTATGACACGTGGACGACTCCCACCCTGAAGAGTCGCTGATCAGGAAGCGAAGTAAGTGTGTGTGTGTGTGTGTGTGTGTGTGTGTGTGTGTGTCTCGCAAGCCCAGTGTGGCCCGAAGGAAGAGTTGCCCTCCAGCCCCAAGCCCCGGCCCCGCCAATGGGCACGCCCTCCTCCCGCAGGCTCACCTGCCCAGCCCCACCCCTCCCAGTCTGCCCCGCCTCCGGGGCCGACCCACGCTCACTTCTCCACTCCCACGACGATGTAGCGGTCTTCTAAGAAGTGGAACCAGCCCTGCATGAGCAGAGCCCATTGGATGCCGAAGGCCGCCAGCAGGAAGTTGAAGCCGACGGCGCTGAAGCCGTAGCGCTGCAGAAAGGTCATGAGGAAGCCGAAGCCCACGAAGACCATCACGTGCACGTCCTGGAAGCCTGCAGGGACAGTGCAGCCCGGGACTCGGTCTAGCAAAGGTTCATCCCAGCCCTGGGTTGTACTAGGAGGGCTGGGGCAGCGCCTCAGTCTTCCCCGCCACTGGCCCGTCTCCCTGCTCCACCATCCTAGCCCCGTTTCCCCATCCCTACATCTGAACCCTGGGGCTGGGCGCGGTAACGCTGCCAGCAAAGCCTCCAGTCCCTTCATAAGGGCCTCTCTAGAAAGGGAGGCGCTCGGGGGGACCCGAGGTGGGCCCCCACCTTAGCTTATTTAAACCACTGGGCTGTAGTGCCAAGAGATTCCCAAGCACCCTCCTTGAGAGATGGCAGTTCCTTGGTTCTACCCTCCTCCCTGGGTGGCTCTGCTGGCCCAGGCTGGAGGTGGCAGCTGGGCATCGGAATTTGAGGCCAGGTGTGGGTTACACGCAGGGTCTAAGGTTTATAGCCCAGACCATCTGAGGCTATGATGCCCTGCCCTCTCCACCACAATCCTGTTCCTTTGCTATGGAGAATCAATGCTCATCTGGCCAAGGAGTAGCCTGGACAGGCCAAGCACATCAGTTACGCTGATCACATCCCCACATCCCACCACCGACTACAGCAGATACACATCCCTGCATCACTGAGACTTGAATTTGGACCCCAGTTACTCCATCTCCTGGGTGGATGACTCTGGGAAAGTTAAGTGTTTTAACTTAGGGCTTGGCACCTGCTTCTGTAACGCTTACATCACAGATGTTGCAGGGATTAAACGCAGATATGTATGTTAAGAAGCATCTAGCACAGTGTCTACCCCATACTAGGTGATCCAAATGGGCAGAAGTCATTGTTTATTTTCACTCAGGCATAGCCTAATTCTGAGTTCTGACCCGAATCTTCTCCACCTCACAATGTGGCCTTGGCAAGCCACTTCCCTTCTCAGAGCCTCGGTTTTCTCAACGACCAAACTAAAGGGATGTATTAGGATGATCTTAACTGCCCTCTTGGCACTTATGTTGTATGGTTCTAAACTCCAAGAAAATAAGAGAAGACAAAAAGCTTTGAGAAGCAAAGAGAATTGCAGAAGCATAACACACTAATAGGAACTGCAGATGTCACAGGACATAGGGGCCAGATGGAAGGGCTCCCACTGGCCAAATCTGGGACAGTTTGAGCACCAAAGTAATTACGTGTTATAATGAATTAAAACCATTAAAAAAGGAACTCATGAGATCATACTGATAATAAGTTGGTAAACACATAAATGAGGTAGCAGATAGGGCTCTTGCCTACAGTAGAACGCTGAGGCTACGCTGGTAAATGTGGAAAAAGTGCTAGAGTTGGAAAATCATCATTTTCATGGTAAAGATTCAATCAGGGGATGGTAAATGCAGGCGGGAATTTTGATTATGCACAGGACATTTGCATTGTCTTAAAGGGTTTCCTTATAGACTGCTTATTAGTTGCAGAGGAAGAAAACAGTAATTATACTGGGCAACATATTGACTGGGTGATCAAAATTAATATCACCCATGCCTCCACATGTGATACCCTGAAAAGGACCTATCCCCTATGTGGGATTCTAGCTGAGACTGCAGAACCCAATCTCATCATGAGAAAACATCAGACAAACACAAAATGAGGAACATGCTATTAAAAAGGGGTAAGGCTGTATTCTTGAAAAGTATCAGTCATAAAAGACCTTCAAAATGTTCCAGATTAAAAGACATGACAAAAGTTATTAAAGTCAATACCTTACTCTAGACTGGGTTCTGTATTTGGTGGGGCTGGGAGGGTTGGGGGAGTGCTATAAAGGTCATTATTGGGTCCATTGAGAAAATCAGGTATAAACAGATGAAGGTATTGTATTAATCAGATATAAACAGATGAAGATATTGCATTAATGGAAATTTATGAAGTTTATTACTATGGTTATGGAAGAGAATATCCCTATTCTTAGGAAATATACTGGAGTAGTTTAGGGTAGAGGGCCATGATGTATGTGATTGACCCTCAAAGGGTTCAGAAAAACAAGGCACACATGTGTATGTGTGAGTATGTGTATGTGTGAGTATGTGTATGTGTGAGTATGTGTATGTGTGAGTATGTGTATGTGTGTGTGCATATGTGTAGAGAAAGAGTGAGCAAATAGCTGAGTCTGAGTATACAGTATTCTCTTATTGTTGTTGAGACATAGTCTCATTTTGTTGCCCTGGCTGGAGTGCAGTGGCGCAATCTCAGCTCACCAAAACCTCTGCCTCCTGGGGTTCGAGCGATCCTTCCACTTCAGCCTCTGCAGCAGCTGGGATTACAGGCATGTGCCACCACGCCTAGCTAATTTTTTTTTTTTTTTGAATTTTTAGTAGAGACAGGGTTTTGCTATGTGGGCCAGGCTGGTCTCAAACTCTAGGTCTCAAGTGATCTGCCCATCTTGGGCTCCCAGAGTGCTGGGATTACAGACGTGAACCACTGCACCCCGCCAGAGTGTAGCCTTCTTTGTGCTATTTCTGTTTGAGCAACTTTTTGTAAATTTGGAATTATTTCCAAATAAAAAGTCAAAAGGAAAAGAGACTTCAGGGCCCTGACTGGCCTGTCCAGCCCCACCCACTTGTCTCCCCAGGGATTCCTACTCCCTCACCTACCTGCCTCCCAGGGGATCTCTACCTCCCCACATCTTCACCTCCCCTTGGTGCTCCAGCTGCTCTGGCCTTCCTTCTGCTTCTCAGTCCCACACTCTAGGGTCTTTGCCTATGTTGTTCCCACCACCTGGGATGCTGTTCCTGCAGAATGGCCAGATCTCAGCAAATTGTCACCTCATTAGAGAGGCCTCCCTGACCACCCATTTAAGATAGGTTCTCTCCCTATGGCACCCTGTTTTCTTTCCTAGGTTCTCTCTCTTATGGCATCCTTTTTTCTTTCACGGTTCTTGTTATAATTTGAAGTTATGCATTTGTTTGTCTATCCCACTCCACTATAAAACTCCAAGAAGGCAGAGCCATGCCTGTGCCAAGATCGACTCTCAGTTAATAGCTATGGATGAATGAATGATTGTTATTGTCTCAGAAGCACCCAGGTGTGCCAGCTGAGCAGTGGTCCAGGAGCATAGGTGGGATTTCACAGGAGGGGCTGCAGCCCCCCTCCAGTCCAATGCCTCCCACCAGGAGGGCTGATAGGTTCTGGTGCCCACTGTAGCCTGGCCAAGGTTGCAGGAGCATTGCTTATGGCACAGCTGCCTGGACCTTGCCTGCTCTCATCTGTTTCCCCTCCAGGCTTCCCTGAGGCTCAGGCCAAGGCCACAGACCCCTCAGCTATCACCTACCTGGAGGAGGCTTAGGGGGCTTGGCACACTGAAGGGCAGGGGTACAAGCCAGTGTGGGAGAGCTGTGGGTCCTGCCCCAGGGTGGTGCTCTGAGCTTCCCTCTGAGTTTAGCATCGGTGCTGAGTTTACATGAACAAACACACCTCAGCTTAGGTTTCTCAATGTGTGCAGCTGATTTCATGTATGATCGTGTTGCAGGGTTTATCACATTTCTAACTATTGTGGAAGAAATTGAGCTGATGTATGTGAAACACCATAAATGGTATTATGGTTATTCTGGGAAGAACTGATGGGTGACAGACTGGAAGAGAGGTGTAAAAGAGAGGGAGGTGACAAATTCAGATGACAATTCCAGAAGCAGGGAGGGGAGTTGGCAGGATGACAGGATGGCGTGCTGTTGACAAACACAAGGCAATGGCAAGAGGTTGCTGTGTGGGAGGGAGGTGCTGGGTCTGGCCTGGCCATGGTGAATTTCAGATGACCACTGGGGTGAGGGCTGGGCGGTGGGTGCAGGGTGAGGGGAGAAATGGAGCCTGGCCATGGGGGCTTGGAGCTGGGGTCTGAGATTGGGCAGGCCTTCAAATAGAGCTGTGAGTTGCAATGTGGGAATGAAGGGAGAGAAAGACACAAGCTGAGAACTGGCTGTGCCTTGAAGCTAGCAGAGAAGACAAGGAAGGCACTGGCAGGGAGGTGGGAGGAGCCCCTGGGGAAAGACAGCATCACTGCAGGTGAGGTCCTTTCGAGGAGAGGAGTATCAGTTGCCTGGTGGTATAGAGGGGCCATGCTGGCAGGGGCGAAGCTGAAGAGGACTAAGGGAGCCACTGCTGCAGGGGAAGGTGTGTGTGGTTTCAGGGCTGCCTTGGCCTCTGTGTGGCCTGAGAGCAGGAGCAGAGAGCCCTTGCTTTCCTGGTCCATCCTCCCTGCCTGTCCCCTCTCACCCTGCTCTTCTCCCTGCTCTGGTGGGTGCTCTGTCTCTCCTTTTCACCCTGTCTCGGGGTGTCTCTTTTTTTCTCTTCCCTCCATCAGGAACACAGACACCCACTTCCTTCTCCCTGGGCACCTCCCCGATTTGTCCTCTTGCTTCCCATCTCTTTATCTGTCCAACTGGTCTTAATTCAGCATCGAAAATCCATTTATTAAGATCTGTTTCATGAAGTTTTGTGCTACCTAAAATGATTTTTCGGCTGGGTGTGGTGGCTCATGACTGTAATCCCAGCACTTTGGGAGGCCGAGGTGGGTGGATCACTTGAGGTCAGGAGTTCGAGACCAGCCTGGCCAACATGGGGAAACCCCATCTCTGCTAAATATACAAAAATTAGCCGGGCATGGTGGTGCACGCCTGTAATCCCAGCTACTCGAGAGGCAGAGGCTGGAGAATCACTTGAACCAGGGAGGCGGAGGTTGCAGTGAGTTGAGATTGTGCCATTGCACTCCAGCCCGGGCAACAGAGTGAGACTTCGTCTCAAAAAAATAAAAATAAAAATAAAAAAAAGATTTTTAATAGTGATGATTTGAGGGTCCAAACTATATGGACCTTCAGCACAACAGGACAGAACCTCTCAGATCTACAGGTTCTTTGTCAGTCAAATGGGAGATAGTAACAGCCCCTGGACAGTGCTCACTGCAGAGCTTTGTAGCACACACGTAATGGGATAACCTGATCAAAGCCCTGTTCGAAGGCAGCTGGCTCTTTAGCAATTGCCCCATAATATTAGTTATTACTTCTCTTTTTCTCTTCCAAGACTGACAAGGTTGCATTGGGTTGGCAACTTGCTGAGGGTCAACCAAAGTTGACCCTCAGTCTCCCTCCCCAGCTTTGGTGACTCCAGCTGTCCTGCCCAGAACTGTCTTCCTCAACCTGGAGGTCCCTGATGGGGTGGGGCTGGCACTCTGGCCTCCAGGGGGCACTAGTACCCAGCTGTTCTCCCTCTTCCCTTACTCCCAGCCCCCAGCCCCATTCTAGCTCCTGTTGCTTCCCTCTGTAGATGAGTCCCCCACCAAGATGGCTGAGTCTAGGGGATCATTAGGGTCCCACACTAATGGGCCTCTGCAGCCGTCTCCTCTGCTGCATCAGCACAGGAACGACGGTGCCCTCCAGGGGCTGGGTGCCGTCCCCCTCCCCCTCCCATTCACAGCCCAGCCTAACTGTTTTGTTTGAGACCTACTGGCCAGTTCCCTAATTCCCCCAAGACTCCGTGCCCACCTCTTCCACATCAACACTGCAAAATCTCCTGGGGAGATGGTCAGGGGCAGCAAAGCCACAGAAGACCCTGGAAAGCAGGTAAGCCCTGGGGCAGGGGGGCTTGGCTCTGACCCTGCCTGTGCCACTGGCTGGCTGAGAGCGTCCAGCACCTCTTGAAACTTCATTACTTCCATCATAAAATGGAAATTATAAATGCCCCACCTGACAGGGCAGGCAAAAAGCATTTTGTGATTGGGAAGTGCACAAAATAATTTAAATCCTGTAATAGTTTCAACTAATATTCAGGGAGATGTGTCTCCACCATGTTTCTAACAAGGTGCTGATACTTAATCACCTTAATGGAAGGAGCACTTACTCCCTTCTGGGGAACTCAGTGGCAGCATTTACTGTCTTCTCTCTTTATGCCAGGAGATGAGTGCCCTAACAGTCACCTGTCATCTTGACTCTTCTTAGACATCCTGTACTTTAAATAATATTTCCACCTGAACATGGGCACGCTGAGGCTCGCTGTGGTGAGGTGGTTGGCTCCTCCATGCAGTGATGCACCCGAATAGGATCTGTTTAATTCTAAAGTTCCACTGCCTCCTGCCTGTGGGTAAGCTCGTCCTTTATCAAATGGAGCCTGCTTTGGCCTCATGACACAGTCCTTCCGGTGTTTGAAACCAGAGCTTCCTCCACCATGGGTCATCTCCCAAAATGTGTCCCACTCCCCGCTTGGTCTTCCAGGGAGCTTCTGCAGTCCAGGCCCTGGTGGCTCCTCCTTGGGCCAGCCTCCCTGAAGCCACTGCCTTCAGCGATTCACCCAGACCCTGGATCACCAGCCCATAGGGAAGCTGCATGTTCAGCAACCACAGCCACTGCCCGCATCACGGGCCTCCAAGGGCACTGCCAGGGTGAGTCCCCAACTGGTTCCATGCCTGCTGCCTGCTGTGGGACCCATGCCTAGGGAGCTATCCTCAGGCCAAGCCAACTGGAGCTGGACTCCTCTGGACACTGGAGATGGCCAGCAGGCTTCACTAACCCCCTGAGTAGAAACAAGGCTCACACAGTTGCTGATGGCCTGGATCCAGGAACAGGGAGGGCACCTTGAGGCCTGCCCTCACCCCAATCCCCTAGGAATCACCTCGCTGCCCAGGAACCCAGGCTTGGGGACTCACATGGGCCAGGAAGCCTTGTGCCCTCTAACTCCTAACCACAGCCACCGTGAGTGGAGGAGGGGAAAGGAGGAAGGTTGAGAATAGGGAGGAGAGTGGGTCAGGAGTATGGGCTCAGACCCCAGGGCTGCTCCTCTTACTCCCTGGTTTCCCAGCTGAGTGACCTTTGCAAGACACTTCTCCTCTCTGGCCTTAGTTTTCTCATCTGTAGAATGGGGGTCGTCACAGTGCCTCCCTCACAGGTCGTGGTGATGATTAAAGGAGAGAATACATGTGCGGTTGAAGGGGTGGCCACTACTTCTTGCCAAGATTCTTTCCCTATACCCCTCTCCTCTGCTGCTTCCTGCTCCAGTGGCCAAGAGCTCCCCAGGAGAACTAGCAGGGGAAACTCAAGGCCCTCCTTGATGCTGGGGCTCTCCCCCTCTTAGCATCCTTACCCCATCCCTTTCACAAACCCTACTCTTGGGCCACACAGAACCACTTCCCCTCCTCACAACACCATCCCCTTTTAGTGGCCCCCTTGGTTGCTCGGCTTCTCCCCTCCTCGCCATCCACCACTTCCCAGGAAGCCATCACAGATCCCTTCTGCTCAGAGCACTTGGTCCCACTGAGCCCTGGGCACCACGGTGCCCCGCTCTGCTTCCAAAAAGTCTGGGAACAGAGACCCAGGATATTCAACTTATTTATCCAGAGTGACCACAGCCCTGGTTTGCCGGGATAGTCATAGCTTATCCCTGGGTCCCGGCAAATTACTACCAGCACCACCTTCACTCTCAAAGGTGTCCTCTGATGATGATAAATTATATGATCACACTACAGATAAGCGCTTGTTGCATGAATACGTGAAGGTGGGGTGTGAAAGGTGGGTGGGTGAGAGTGGTGGGAGGATAAGAGCTGGGGAGATATAAGGACTGTACCTCCCCACTGGTGAGGTTCTGCAGCTCCTATTACAGAGTTTCTCTCTCTCTCTCTCTTTTTTTTTTTTGAAAGGGAGATAGAGATTCATTCTGCCACCTAGGCTGGAGTGCAGTGGTGCTGTCATAACTCACTGTAGCCTCAAACTCCCGAGCTCAAGTGATCCTCCCGCTTCGGCCTCCCAGAGTGTGCTGGGAATATAGGTGTAAGCCACCGCACCCAGCCTATTTAAGGTCTTGAGGTCCTCCACTCCCCAGACACATTGAGCACCTGTGAATGCCTATGGGAGGTCTTGCCCCTTGTGCTCTGGGGTCAAGTGGGAAGCAAGAGCAGGAGGGAGGGACAAGAACAGGCAAAGGAGGGTCTCAAGCTTGCCTGCCTCACTTGTTTGCTGGAAAGTCCCCCGCTGAGGAGAGGAAAGGTGGACAATGTGAATAGTGGATTTGGAGCCTGAATCCGAAGGCTGCAGCTGTCAAGATGCCTTTTTAAAAACATCCCTAAATGGAGCCTAGGAGAAACTGTGGTCTCCCTAGCAGGGGGCGCACCCCTTGTCTGTTACTTCCCTTCTAGGCATCATGTAACTATTAATGCAGCCCATGATAGCCCTAACTTTTTGGCAGCCACTTAATATGGCTGGCTCCCACCAAGCCTGCAGCCCCCCAAACTCAGTCTTTTTCTCATGCAGGCTGCCATTCTGAAAGTGTGCAGTTGTTTTCTTGGAGATAGAGAATCCCCTGTTGCCGACAATGTCTAAAGTGTGGAGGGAACACCAGTTGATATAGGCGGATGCTGGAGAGGGGCTTTAGGGTCCCTTCCGAAGCTAACAGTCAATGACTACATGAACACCACCAGCTAGAATAATTGTCATTGACTGATGGCGGATGGAGTGGAAAATCAGAAAGTACAAGGACATTCTGATTTTGGGAAGAGCCCCGGGCTGGGAGTCCAGAGGTCGGGCAGCTCACAGTGACCTTGGGCTAGCTCTCCCTGCTCCTGAGTCCTAGGACACCTGTGTTTGGTGCTCTTGTAGCAATTGCTCCATTATGAAGAGAGGATCCCACCCCAACTCTGTGCCAGAGCTTTACCTGCACTGCCTCGCCACAGCCTCACCCCAACCCCTGTGAGGGAGGCCCTACCATTATTTTCATTCTGTAGATGAGGAAATTGAGGTTTAGGAAATGCCAGAGGTTGGCATTTGCCTGAGGCCACCCACCTGGTTTATGGCAAGAGCCACAAGAGCACGAAAGAGAGGTATGCGATTGCAGGGTAGTGCTCTTAACCGCAGCACCGCTGACACCAGAAAATTCAGGGGTGCTTATTTTCCCTCTCCAGACTAAAAGGGGGTGGGTGTCCTGGCCTTCTGGCCCACCAGTGGTCCCACAACACCTCTGCCCACAGCAGGGCTGGCCGGCCATTGAACCATCCCTGTGGCCCTCGACATGGAACCTACCCGCTTATTTGGAGTAAGCGCTCCTCTGGACAAGGGAGCCAGGTCACCCACTGGTTGGTAATGGAGCGAGAGGACTCAGGTCTTTTTAGGATACCAAGCAGGGCTCTCTGACAGGGATGTTGGGGGCCTATGACGGCTGGGAGGGCGGTCAAATAAAAACCTTATCCCGGTGTTTTCCCTACTAGTTTTTCACGGGGAAAAGGAGTTTGTGCACATCTGACAATTTCCCACGCATGCCCTGCAGAAGCTGGCGAGATGGGGAGTCCACGGCTGCAGGGCAGATCCCCTCCTCTGCCCTGCGCTGGGCCGAGCCCTTGGCCAGGTGGGGACCGGCGCGGATATGCCTCCACTGGGCCTGCAGGCGGCGGGACTTACTCGGGTAGCGATAGTAGAATTCGTTCTCCACCTCGCTCAAGTTCTTGTGCTTCCTCTCTGTCCACCAGTGGGCGTCGGCATCGAAGTCGTAGCGCACGAACACCCCGAAGAGAATCACCATAGCTACCTGCAGGAGCAGGCAGGTGAGCGGCAGCCGCCAGCGGAGGTTGGTGTTCCAGGCCATGTTGCAGGGGTGCCTGGCCGGGCGGGCAGCGGGCAGTTCGGACGCTCGGAGGCCGGCGGGGCTTTTGAGACCGGGGCAAGGGGGCGGAGCGGCCACGTGGGGCACGGAGCAGCTGACTTGGGCACCGCCCGCGCCTCGCTCGCCCAACTGGCAGGGGCCCAACCCAAGCCAAGGGTCCCAAAAGATTCCCCGCGTTGGGCTGGGGGACAGCGGCAGGAGCAGAGGCCGATAAGGCAGTGGGCAGGAGGATCAGGGTGCCCCAACTTCTGTGTCTCCGGTTGATACTGGGGCCTTTCTCCTTTTGTTCTGCTGAACAGGGAAACGGGGATCATTGGCCTCCAAATGAGATCAGAAGGAATTCCCAGACCTAAGTCATCATCATCATCATCATCATCTGCATCATCATCTGTCCTTTTTCTGATTATGAAATTCACACAGGGCACATGAAAAACAAGGAATGTTTGGGACACTGTCACACAACAGAGCGGCCTGGGGAGACATCTGTGATGTGCTACCCCAGACTTGACCCTGGAACAGAAGGAGGATGTTAATGGGAAAACTGGTAAAATCCAAATAAAGCCTGAAAATTAGTTAATAGTGACGTTCCCATGTTGTTTTCTTAGTTGGGACAAATGTGCATGGTTATGTAAAATGTTAACAGTAGGGTAAACTGTGTAAGGGCTATATGGGGACTGTCTTTGCACTTTTCTGTAAGTCTAAAATTATTCCAAAATACAAGGGTTTTAAGAAAGAAAAAAAAACACATAGAAAGGATTGTAAGAACAATTTAAGAGTTTTTCACAAGTTCATTGATCTATAATCAGAAACTGTCTTTTGGTTAAGATCTGTGATCTTGACATGAGTTAACCATAATATTTAGGTAAAATCTATGCTTAGTCTGTATATTGTCACAATAAATGTGATTTTATAATTTTTCTTTAAAAATACAGAGATAATTGTAGAGATTTTGAAAATACAGAAAAACACAAAGAAGAAAGTAAAAATCACTCATAATCCCACCACCCAGAGGCAATACTAATATTTCAGTGCATGTACTCTAGTCTTTTTCTAGCTTATTGAAGAGGGTCTTGAGGGGACCGGGGGAGTGTTTCAAACGATCACACTAATTTATAGCCTTTTTAACTGCTTTCATATTTTGTAAACACTTCCCCATATTATACTTCTACAACTCTTTTTTGTTGTTGTTGTTGAGATAGGGTCTTGCTCTGAAGCCCAGGCTAGAGGGCAGTGGCTTGATCGTGGTTGACTGCAGCCTTGACCTCCTGGGCTCAAGTGATCCTCCCACTTCAGCCTCCCAAGTAGCTGAAACCACAGACATGTGCCACCAGGCCCAGCTAATTTTTTAATTTTTTTTTTTTTTTTTGTAGAGACGGGGTCTCCCTATGTTGCCCAGGATGTTCTTGAACTTCTGGGCTCAAGTGGATCCCTCTGCCTCAGCCTCTCAAAATGCTGGGATTACAGGCATGAGCCACCACACCCAGCCTGCCACAATGTTACTTTTATAGCAGGATATACTGTGCCTTTTCTCAGCAATCCCTAGTGTTAGGTGAGGAGCGATGAGGATAGTTTTTATTTGTTTAGTATTGCAAATAATGCTGTCATGAACATCCAGATATGTAATTCTTTGCACAACTTTCTATGAATTCCTGCAGGCAGAGCTGTTTTAATACATATCTCTAGATGTTCCCCTAGAAAGATTTTACCAGACAAAGCGTGCACCCTACGAACCAGGGGTCAATGATTTTTCCCATGCACTCTTGCCAATGCTGGCTTTAAAATATCTTGCCAGTTGAAATCCCAGATTTGTAAAAGCCACTAATGCCATACATAACATCTGAGGCTAAGCACCTAATCAGGGTGCTTGGAACTTGAGTGTGGCCATACTGTGCCAGTGTGGGGTACCAGGGTATCCCCACTCCCTTGGCAAAGCAGCAGCCAGATACTGCATGAGCAATACCAGCAATAGGGACCATTTATTAAGTGCCTGCAGTTGCCAGATCTTTTAGATAAATATTTAAATTCTCAACTAAATACTTGCTAAGTGGACATTGTAGGTATATTCTACAGTTGAAAAACTTGAGTTCTCAGATTGGCTAAGGAACTTGCTGAAGATTCAAACCCCAGGCTGTCTGATTTCAAAAGCTGTAGTCTTTCTACTGCACCATTCTGCTTGTCCCCTCTGGAAGGAGCTAGAAGGAGGGTTTGACTTCAGGCATGTGCATTCACTGCTGGGGAGAAAACCATCTAAGTATACGGCAATGGGAGTAAGTGGAGGGAGGGAGAAAAGGACTGGGATGGGGAGGCTGCTGCAAGTAGATTCATGAGCGTCTAGGTTCCACACAGGAGCGGTGGCATTATGGGATAGAGGGCAGTGGGTGGTGTGGTCCCTGAAGCCTGGGCCGGGAGGGGGCAGGTGGAAGACCTGCTCGCCAGGCTGGCCAGCTTTAAGGATAGGGAAGCCGGGGTGTCTTGCTCATTGTTAGAACTGCCCTCCCATCCAGACCTCTTCCAGAGTCCCCTAGCACACCTGTGGTGCTGGAACCCGGGTGCCCCTTGTGGGACTCCTTGCTGGGGCAAGGCACAGGGTCCAGGAGAGAGATGCTGACTCGGGAGCCCTGCAGAGGCTCAGTGGGACAAACCTGGAGCCACAGCCAAGCACAGTCACTACCCACAGCCAGCACAAGAAGGCCACTTGCCCTTGACCTTCATATTTGGTAGACTAGAGGTACAAATGACGGACTTCAGACTACCAGGAGGATACAAGGTTGAAGGGAGACCCTGTTATCAGATGGTTTTTTTCTTGGGTTACATTTTTGGGCCACTCAACTAATATAGGTCATCATGAATTAACATTCAAAAACAAATCCTGGCCGGGCACTGTGGCTGTCATCCGAGCACTCTGGGAGGCTGAGGCAGGTGGATCATTTGAGGCCAGCCTGGCCAACATGGTGAAACCCCTTCTCTACTAAAAATACAAAAATTAGCTGGGTGTGGTGGCGGGTGCCTGCAATCCAGCTACTCGGAGGCTGAGGCAGAAGAATCTCTTGAACCCGGGAGGTGGAGGTTGCAGTAAGCCGAGATCGTGCCACTGAATTCCAGCCTGGGTGACAGAGCAAGACTCCATCTCGAAAAAAAAAATTATTTGTTTATAGTATATCAACATACCATTGCATTTAACCCTTTATGGCATTTCTCCCTTTGTTTTATTCCAGGAAGCTGCTAGGTCTCTCTTGACCTCAGTGAGCCCCAGCAATCGCCAACCAAGGAAGGGGCCCAGGGAGCCTCTTCCAGTCCGGAAGCCTTCTCTCCATCCTTTTCTCTGTGGCAAGACCAACTGTCAGAGCCTCCACAGCCTGAGGGCCTGGGTGGTGTGACCCCTGCAGAATAGGGGGAACAGAGGGAAAGCTAGGCATTGAAGTCCCTGGTTTCACCTCTGCTTCCGGAGTAATTGTGTGACCCTGCGCAAATTGTTAACCTCTCTGAGTCTCTACTCTCTCATCTGTAAAACCAAGACAGTTATGTCCCCCGGGGTCTTGGTGAGGCTTATTCTGAGTAGCTGGGACTACAGGTCTGTGCCACCACGCCCACCTAATGCTTTTTGTATTTTTTTGTAGGGGAGGAGTTTTGTTATATTGCCCAGGCTGGTCTTGAATTTCTGGGCTTAAGTGATCCTCCCACCTCGGCCTCCCCAAGTGCTGGGATTACGGGCTTGAGCCACTGTACCCAGCTGGTGAGACTTATTCTGAGATACAGCACAGTGAAGAGCCCAGACAGTGCCTGGAATGTGACATGCCCTCAGTTCCTGTTCATTTTTTTCCTAGTGCCTGGAACAATTAAAAAGTATGTGACACTTGAGATTCTCCAGAGAAAGATAGGTAATCAAGGTTGAAGAATTGAGGCAGGCAAGTGTGGGATGGTGGAAGAAGTCCTGGCTTCTGCTGGTGATCACAGGCAAATTCTTAACCTCTCTGGGCTTGCATCCTCACCTGGAAAATGAAGTGTGTGAATGGGTCATTTCCAAAGCTGCTTCTAGCTGCAAGGCTCCCCCTAGCCTAGAGGAGCTAGCCCCCTCTGTTGCTTTTCACCACCCACATGCAGCCTTCTCTCTGGTTGGACAAGCCGAGTGCATTGCTTCACAGCCTCTTGTAGCCCTGCCAGGACCTCAGTCACCCAGGAAAGGCCTCACCCTTGATCCTGGAGTGACCTCAACCACATCCACTGTGTCTTATCCTGTGTGGGGTTTGCAGGCTGCCCTCTTCGGCTTCCTCCGCCTCTCCTCCCATCATGCCCTCTTCCTCCTTTCCACATTCTCCTCTCTTTCCCACACCCAGCATCCTCCCAGCCACATCGATCATGGCACCTGTCCCCTGTGTGAGGTCCTGCCACCTTGACACAGTGGGGCCCTCTCCTAGTGCCCCCTGCATAATATTTGAGAAGATAAGACCACAGACAGCAGAGCAACTGCTAACACCAGCTCTGCAGGCTCTACAGGCCCAGTTACTGGAGGTCCAAGTTGAAAGTTGGGCTAGGACAGAGAGTTTTTGGGATGAGGTGGGTGGGGAGCACACCACCCTCTGAAGTCATTAATTCCCCAGGGGGGCCATGAACTCTGTTAAGACAGGGGTAACATCTTATTTATAAATTCGTCCCCTGCTCACAGCCCAGTATGGGGCACAGAAGAGGCACTTGGGGAGTGTTCCGGAAGGTGGGAGGAAGGAATGAATAATATTCTTTGAGCACCTAGTGTGAAACAGGCACTGTTCTAGGTGCTGAGACATGGCAGTGAACAAATGAAGCAACAATCCCAGACCTTGAGCTGGCATTCTAGGAAGGGTGGGAAAGGTCGGCAAACAACCTGCTAGTACGTACCTTACTTATTTACTGTGTTTAACAATAGATAGGTAAAGCAGACAGCATGTCAGAGGGTGATACATGCTGTGTGGAGCGGAGGGGAGGAAAGTGGGAGAGAGGCGGCCAGGAGTACAATGTACACTGAGTGGCCAAGGAAGGCCCCATGGAGGGAAGCAGGGAAAATCAGTTCT